GGACATCCAGAAGAACAAGCTGCTGAGGAAGGCCGAACTGGAGGCGGAGGCTGGCTTCTACAAGTTCCACGACCTGCAGGACGCCCAATCCACGGCCAGCTCGGGCAAAAAGGTGGTCATGGAGCCCATCGACGATGACGAGTTCTTCCTGCGCAAGCGCGGCATTTCCGAGGACAACATCCAGTTGCGTCAGTACATCAGCGAGGCCATTCGCGAGGGCTACGACATGCCCAATGCCCTGAAGCACGTCGGCTACTCCGCGGAGCAGGTGCCCACGGAGTACGGCGACTATGATGTGCCGCCGGCCAAGCCACGGCGCCTGCACCGCAACTACCAGCCGGACTTCGACTCGCAGGAGTTCCAGCGCAGCGACTACGGCGACGATCTGTCCATGTCGCAGAACGGCAGTGAGTTCACCCCCAAGCGACCACTGCGCAAGGCGCGCAGTCGCAGCAAGTACTCCATCGAGGGCAGCCAGGACATCCCCCAGGATGGCGGCAGCAGCATCCAGTACTTCGACGACGACGAGGAGTACCTTCGACCCCCGGCGAGGGATCAGCCGCAGGGATCAGAGCAGGCACTCAACAATCTAGATTTCGGCGGCAAGGCAGCGGCGATGATGCAGGAGGAGCTGGAGCTGCAGCTGGAGCAGCAGCAGCAACAGGAGCAGGAGCGACAGAAGCCCCGTCCGCAGGCACCGAGGCGCCAGAAGAAACGCACAAGGGACGACGCATCCGTCGAAAAGGATGCGGACTCCTTCATCAACGGCTTCGGTGGTAGATCAGTATCGAACACCTTTTTGCAGCCACACGAAGATGTGAGTAGAAAACGGGGGCATCTTTATTTAATGATCCAAATTTAATATGTTTCTTGACTTGTGAATATCAAACTGTTACTGGACTTTCTTTTATTTATCATCGATTAAATATAGTTGATTGGAACTGCTTAATAAATCCCTATTTTCCGTCTCCAGGTAATTGTTTATCGCACTGAGCACGAATATCGTCACATACCGCTAGCCACGCCGGATAGATTTACGGACGGAGCCTCGGCGCGAACACAGCGCTCCGAGGATGACCGCACGTCGCGCGGTGCCGACTCCCTGATCCTGGACGGACACATTAAGGCCAGGCCGGAGGCAGAGGACAACGAGGATGTGGGGCCGCGGACGAGGAGCGATGAGAAGTTCGTGATCGACATGCTGGAGAGCGATGGGTAAGTACACCAAGCACCATGTCTGCCAGCTGGAGAGTTTGCCAGGAGTTGCTTTCTTGCCCGCTTCCAGCTACGCGGTGGTCCGCAAGGAGCCGCTCCCGAAGCCCACGCCACCTGCCCGCCGGAAGAAGTTCACCCGGTCGCCGGGCGAGCGGTTCGCCACGCTGCCCAGCATCCGCGGCTCGCGGGGATCGCCGCCACCGGCTCGACCACCGCCGCCGCAGCAGTACGTGCCCACAGAGGACTCGCCGCTGGTGCCGCGCCGCAGATCCGCGGCCAGCCTGGACGAGATCCCCCTGATGATCAAGTCGAAGTAAGAGTATAGCCTCTTGAGCTTTGACCTTTAGTTTTTTTTTAACGTTGCCGTTAACTTGTTTCGAATGCATTTCTGTTAAGTTTCTATTCTATTAATATTCCTTTTGTTGTTAAGCTTTAGGCTAGGCTAGGCTAAGGCCACTAATCCGATCCTCCCGAGACACGCACTCCACACACACACAATAAAGCAGTCCACCACACAAACAAACACAGCATCTTCTTGCCTTTGGCTTTTGCTCAGTTGCCCAGTTGCTCCGTTGCGAACTGCAGTCCAAGCCCATGATTCTATTTAATGATCCCACCCTTTTCCCTAGCTACGAGTCACAGAAGCAGCAGCAACAGCAGGAGCAGCAAAAGGAGCGGCAGCAGGAGCAGCCGAAGGAGGATGACTACGAGGAGCCGGGTGCACTGGAACGCACCAACCTGCAGTCGGGTGCGGTTATTAACAAGATGAAGTTCCGCCCACTGCCGCCGCCACCGCGTCCTCCGCGCGAGAAGCGCTCCACGCGAGCGGGAAGCCAGACGCTGGAAAACTACGAGGACAGCGAACAGGTGGCCAGCTCCAGCCAGGCGGATAGCTACGACCAGGGTGAGTTCGAGGTGGAGGTGTCCACGCAGACGGACCCGCTGCCCGATGACTTTGTGTGCGAGGAGTTCGAAATAACGGAGGACATGAAGATCATCGAGCCGCGACGCTCTAATGGATCGGGCAACAAGACCCTGGAGGATCTGCTTCGCAGCGTGGAGGCAGCCCAGGAGCAGGACGTCGTGGACGGGGCCCGCGTCCTCACGGAGGACGAGCAGCTGGCCAAGGGGCTGCAGAGGTTCCGCGACGCCAACCAGCGCAGCATGTCGGAGCGATCGAGGGCCTCCTCCCAAGCGGATCGTTCCAAGTCGCTGAGTCGTCCGCAGACGCCCTCGTCGGCGGTGATCATCGAGCGGCGGGTGCCCACGCCCAGTCTGACGGCTGGCGAGGATGATGCCGCGGTGCAGGCCTCGCTGATTGTGCGACCCATCAGTGCAGCCGATCTGATTGACGACGACCTGCGGCGCGAGGAGGAGGAGCTGCGTCGCGAGGGCCTGCTCTCGGACAGCTCGGTGCAGAGCAAGTCCGACGTGGAGGATGAGCACGGCGAGGTGGCGTTGAGCGACTATGCCGCCAGTTCGGCGGACCTGGATGCAGCGGTGGAGCGACTGCAGCAGGCGCAGCTGGAGAGTGACTACGAGAGCCGGCTGGAGGATGACGAAGTGGAGCGCACGCTCCGGGACAGCGAGTACGAGGAGGAGGAGAAATACTCGGAGCAGGAGGAAGAGCAGGAGATAGCCCGACTCGAAAAGGAGCTGACGGAGCAGGAACTGGAGGAGGCTCTGGAGAAGGAGCTGCAGGAGGCCATGGAGAAGGAGCTGTCCGACTACCGCCAGAAGGAGCGGGATCACGAGGAACAGGAGCAGGCCTTCTCCGAGGAGGAGTTGGCTGCCTCCGATATCGATTACCACCAGTCCGAAGAGGAACAGGCCACCTCCGAGGTGGAGTACCACCCATCCGAGGATGAGCATCCCTTGTCAGAGGGAGAGCAGCCACTTTCCGAGGAGGAGCATACGCTCCCCGACACGGAACAGCCACCATCCGAGCCAGAAATCCTGGCCGTGGAGGAGCCCATCCAGAAATCCACCGCTAGCGAACCCACCGAGGCCGAAGTTGAGCTCAAGTTCGTGGCCACGTTGCCCACCGAAGAACCCGCCTATGCAGCCAAGGTGGACGAGCTGGAGGAGGCACCTCTGCCACCACCACGCCGCAAGTCCACCACCGCCCTGGAACCCATGGCCACAGCCATTCTGACCATTGCCGAGCACTCCAGCCGCGAACTTACACCCATCCAGACGGTGCAATCCCCGCCAGAACCACAGTTCCCCAGTCGCCTGGCCGAATTGGAGGTGGAACGATTGCGGGTCCATGCCCTGCAAGCTGGCCAGATCCAGGTGTCGCAGCTCCATGGCGGCGAGATCAAAGCAGGCGATCTGGAGTGCAAGTCCGGACAACTGGTGGTGCAGAACATCGAACTGCCGCCCGGGTTCATCGAGGACATTGTGGAGCGGGTGCGGGAGCAGCGTCCTTCGCTGCTCACCACCGAAACCCAGACCAGCCGGCAGGCCAGCAGCGAACCCGCCTCCTCCGAAAAGGAGCAGCCGGTGAAGCCACCACGTCACAGCAAGACCACCGAGCAATCGCCCGCGATCGCCGCCAATCTAGACGAGCAGACCCAGACGGAGGCGGGCCTGCTGCCTCCGCCGCCGGCAGCCTATCCCAGTGTGGAGTACCTCCAGTCACTGGCGCCACTGGCCTTCTACAATCTGCAGCGCAGCGCGGAGGCCGAGCAGGCGGAGGCCTCTTCGGAGCGGGCCGATCGCAAGGCACCGCACAAATGCCGACGTCGTCATGTCCAGGAGCACATCGAGCCGGAGTCTGGCTCCGAGGCGGAGGAGCAGCTGGTGGAGCGACCACGTTCGCGATCGCGACGCTCGCGCACCCGCAGTGCCACCCAGCCACTGGAGGAGGATTACGACCTGGAGGACCAGCCCAAGACGGTGGTCCAGGCGGGACGCCAGTTCATCTCCGCGTGCAGTCTGGAACTGGTGAACATCATCAACCAGCTGACGCACTACGTCCGCGGCGAGGCAGTGGAGCCACAGCAGGCGCCACGCAACGTGTCCGCCCTGATGGTGCTCTTCATCCTGATCACGTTCGGAGTGCTGGTCTTCCTGCTCACCGGGCGACAGGTGCACACACACCACTGGGACTACTTTAATCCGCCCGGGAACGAGCACGGACGGCAGACGTGAGGGACTGCGGGGAGTCCACATGCTGGTTTGGCTATCCCTTGGGGCGGTCTTGCATTTTGGAGCATCGAATCTGGCCAAGAAACATGGCCACGGGGTGGAGAAACGAATTTAAACGCGGCCAGGTGTCCGCTCGAAACTTGAAGGCCTTAATGATACTAACGAGAAATTACTTTAGGAAAGGTGCGCCGGATGGGGGCGGAAGTGGGCGAGGGGCGTGCCCGTGCTACTAGTCACACAAAACAATCGAAACCAGAATCCCAGTTCAATCATCCATCATGCAACATGCATCGTCATACACATACCGACATCTAACTTGTACTAACCAGAAATATAAAGGGGAACACATTTTTCAACATTGTCTACCAACGATATAGAGAGATCTATATGAAAACAACGACCATGTATTAACTATGTACTTAACACATGCTATGTATGTACATAGACGTTTTCAGTTTTCAGTTACGCGAAGTTTCATGCGAAGAAGGAGCGAGGACCACTAATCCAATAAACACTTATTTTGTTTGCTCATATTTTCTACCACTTAAGGCAAAGCGAGAGAATCAATTGTTGAACAAATTGTTGTTTAATTTAGACCAAAAATTAGCAATTAATATACAAAACATACACTCTTTTTCATTGAATTCATTTGAACGTTATTATTTGAAATGCGAGTACTTAGCCAGAAAGTGAACTTATATCTTAAATATATAGAAGCGTATTTTCAATAAAGCAAAATGATATAAAACAAACGTAATTTTGTTTCCATACCAGGAGCGGGTAGCTAAGTAAGTCTATAGACTATAGATGTATTTGCTTTACATCAAGAAGTCCTCATCGTATTGAACCATCTCGCGGTGATCCTTGTGACTGCCTTTTTGGGACTTACTGGCGGCTAAAATTGTATGCCATGTGTTATGTTAGGGCTCAAAGTATACGTTTTAAGTACTCACCAATGGATGACCAGACTGCCGACGACGAGGCATCGTTAATGGGCTCAATCTGGGGCTGACGTCTAGCCAGCTGCACCTGCAAATTGATGCCATTCACATTCTTTCCATGCATTTCCGCAATGGCCCGATCGGCGGACTCTGGCTTGGCGAAGGAAACAAAACCGCGACTGCAAGAGATTAACAAGGTATTTAAGAATAAGATGGGAATATGGATGTGTAAAAGAACGGGAAGGCAAAAAAGTCACAGGTGGTATTGTAGAACAACCGGGTGATGCAGAATTCTCTTGAAAGTGTTGAAAGCGTTTTTACCTCTTCTCAATCTCCATGGAAACATTGACAATTGTGCCGTAGTCGTTAAAGGTCTTCTTCAGGAAATCCTCGGTGACCTTGTTGCCGGACACGAAGATGGTGTTACCAGCTCGTGGCTTCTCCGGCTGGACCGTGTCTATGACCACCTTCTCGGGCATGCCGCGCTCCTCGCGATCCCGCTCCGTGGCAAAGTGCTGGTAGAGATTCTGGCGGCGCGGTTCCTCCTTGATGATCTCGCTAATGATCGTCTCCTGGGCCACGTCGTTCTGGGTGGAGGAGAAGGGCTGGTACGAGGCGACGCTGGTCTCCGAGGTGGAGCGCTTGGCCCGCTCCTGTCCCTTGGGTCGCTTAAAGGAGGTTTGATCCTGTTTGGTCTGCTTTTGGATGGCGGGAATGGCGCCGCTTTTGATCAGTTTCCGGGCCACCTCACGAGCATCCCGGGCATCAGTTGGACGCTTCAGTGTCAGAGAACTTTCTGGCTCCGGCTTGGGTGCCTTATGCGCCTGCAGTGCCTTTTTCTGAATATTAAAACGCATTTAAGTCGAGAACAACTAATTTTTTTTTAGGGCTTTTCCTCACCTTCTTCTTCAGCTTTTGGTACTTGGCCTGTAGCATCTGCTCTTCTTCAGTCAAATTGCTGGGGAAGTGTATGTAGACCATTTTTGAAAAAGATAACTGTATATTCTTATTTCTTTTGTTTTTTTGCAACTAGTTGAAAGGTTTGTTTAGCCTCTTGTACAAAATATTACGGATTGGTTCGTAATGTATACAAATTTTCCTTGTTTATTTTTTTCGCCGCTATGACTGTTAGAGATGGGTTAGCCAGTCACGGAAGTACCGATGTATCGTATAAGAGTGCGAATTCAAAAACAAATTAAATTACTTTTGTTTATGATAGCTATATTTATATGGATTGTTGTTCCTTTTCGGAAATATTTAAGATACAATTTTCCTAGGATTTAGATTAAGGAACTATATCAATTTATAGATTTTTATAAGAAAGTCGTTAGCTGATCGGCTTAAAAGTTCTTTACACGAAAAATTCAGGTTATTTAATATACATTTACTAATAACATTGATTTAATATAAACTCTACATACATTTACGTAAGATTACGAGGTTATTTAGAACGAAAAGAACAATAATATCTTAACAAAAGTCCCGGCTAGTTTATTTCGAAAATGATTGAATTTCTAAACATTTGAAGAGCTTATTAAAATGCTTAAAATATTTAAAAACAATAAACTCTTGAATTTTTGAAATTTTGTTTTGAATCAAATCGAAAAAATTTCAAACGCATGTGCACAATTTTGTTGTAGTATTGCAGCTTATATATAAAGTTTGACTTAGATAATTTAAAATTTTTATTTATTCATTATTGAAGCCTGGATAATGGAAAAGCTACCCAAACAAATATCCTATATATGTCCATTTTATATGCAAACAATTGTTGAATGTTAATTGCAATATTTTAGAAACCAACAATATTCTTGAGTACCCCCACTATCTGTGCTTCTCAACTCTTTAGTGTGACTGCGTAATAGAAGGTAATAAAATACCGCCGAATGTGCTGTCGATTTGCTGCCACACTAAGGTGTGCTGCACAACACTAACCCAAATGCAACTCTGCGTTTAGCAACACTAACGCCATGTTGCCACTGAGCTGTCAAAAATGTTCTTTCCTTCTCTTTCTTTCCGGTTAGCGTCATGGTAAGAATCAACGAAGGTTTCTCCGGATCGGTTGAAAAATGTGAAAATAAAGCAGTCTTAACGGCCCGAGTTGAATTAAGTCTGGCGGCCAAGTGAACGGGTCAGTGCGTTGAACATATGAAAATAGAAAACTGCGCACAAGCCAATAAATACCATTGGAAATCAGCCCTTGAAACAATTCACGTGGTGGACACCAACACAAGCAACGCGCTGGCCATGCAGCACCTGAAATTACACATTTTGAGCCATTTTTAATGGGCATCTTTCTGCTTGCAGCCTTTCGAGAGATTCGTACAAACTGGTCGCATTGCCAAGGCCTCCGCCGGTCCCCTGAAGGGGCGCCTGGTGGCCATTGTCGACGTCATCGACCAAAACAGAGTAAGTGCATCGTTTCTGGAGGGAAGCGCAGCACAAAATCGCCAAATGACAAGCTCTTGCACATGATGATAATTTGTCTTCTTGATAGGAAGTGCCAACTGACACATAAATGAAGCTAGTTTAACCCACTGAAAGCAAGCAAGCAAGCATGGCATTTGTTGCTGTGCCCTGCCCCTTAATCTTCAGTAGATGTAACCCCTTGACTTACCTTTGGTTTCTTTAACAGGTGCTGGTTGATGGCCCCCTGACCGGCGTTCCCCGTCAGGAATACAGATTGAACAATCTGCACCTGACCAAGTACCGCATCAAGTTCCCCTACACCGCGCCCACGCGCATCGTGCGCAAGGCCTGGACAGAGAGCGACCTGAAGGCCCAGTGGAAGGTCAGCCCCTGGTCCGCCAAGGCACAGAACATCTGCAAGGTATGTATGGACTCTTGAAGGAGAAGTCTTAGTTGTTAGGGAGAGGATAACCTACCCAGAGAAGACAATGTTTATTGAAATCTGTTCTTAGTCGATATTAAATATCTCAGATCAATAAGTTGATACAATACGATCTTGCTCTAACTTTATTACCACCTATAAAAAAATGTGTGAAAGGCTTACAAGTTTGATCATCAAAATAGGTCTCGTACTATTTAATTTCATTTTTATCTTGCTACTTTAAAAATATGATAGTTTTTTTTTTAATGTTTGTTTCCTCATTATCAGGGAATTTCAATTCCTTTTTAATTTTGTTGTCTTATAAACATATTCTGTTTTTGAAATGCTTGCTTCCTATAGTTTCCATTGATCTTTGAATTATACAACCTCAAAAAAGCACGTGTGAATGTTAATAGTTTGATTTTTCAAATCAAACAAATTTTAATAAATAAAAGTTTATCGTGAATGTTTTTGCCTGCATCAACATCTCTTTTATATAATTATTTAATGCATGCTTTAACCAAATACTCAGTGAAAACCTATAAGAATTAAGTAAAGCATTTACTATTTTAATCAATTTAATATTTACAACGCAAGAGCTCTATTATTTTGTAAACATATTTGAACCCAAGCCTTTTGAATACCATAAATAAATAAAAGTGCTATGAATTCCGAGCAATTTGCTTCAATTAAGATTATTTTTCCAGTAAAAGTCACTTTAGAGATACTGAGATAGTGTTACATATTTCTTCTCTGAATAGTTATTTACCTCCTTCAACTGCACATGATGATAGTTGAAAGTTCTTGATAGGAATTGCCGGCTGACACATACATGAAGCTAATTTTTCTTTTATCTGATCACAATTTCATATAGAAATATTCTAAATCTTTTTGGATAAATGCAAATTATTAAACCCCGTCACTTTTCCATTGCAGCGCTCCTCGTTGAACGACTTTGACCGCTTCAAGCTGCGTTATGCCAAGCGCCAGCGCAACAAGCTGCTGACCATCGCCTTCAACACACTGAAGAAGCGCACCAAGGCTGACGGCACTCCCCGCGTCCTGAAGAAGGATCGTCGCGAGCGTCTGCGTGCCGAGAAGGCCAAGGGTGGCAAGAAGGCCGCGGCCAAGAAGTAAAAACACTACCTTTAACGAAAGTAACTGCTTGATGAACATCCACCACCATGGAGAAAATAAAAGAAAGTGTTATTTTTAGGAAAAACACAAGCCCAGAGCCCTTTTCTTTTGGATTTAACAGTTTTATTTGCTCTCAAGAAACAATATGATCTTAACAGTCCAATCTTTAAAGCACAGTCCAGTCTACCAAACAGAGAACGACCAAGGCCCCGCTCAAGTGGGACACTTGCCGTAGATGGTCTGCCAGTTGTTGGGATGGTTGTAGCCCAGCAGGATGGGCAAGTGCAGGAACAGTGTGATATGTTCGCCTTGTATCGACGTGGATACCTTGACCCACTTGCGCAGCCACTCGATCATGGCCTCGCTGCTAAGACTGTCGGGATTCAATCCGCGCAGAAAGCAGGAGTAGCGCAAAGCCTCCGGGGTCAAGTTGTGCACGCCGCCCTCACGGTTGATGGCCTGGTCCATGTAGTGCACCAGAAAGGCATGCTCGTGCAGGCGATGTCGCTTAAAGATGCTGCTAGGCAGCCCATGAAGGTTGACTAGGTTTCTCTGGAATGTGCGGATTAAGTAGTTGCACCATATCTCTTTCTGTTCAAACATACGACGTGTTTCCGCGACATTCCCAGCAGCGAGTAAGGTCCATCGGCAAATATGTCCTTGACATCTATGAGCATTTCGGGTGTGGGATGTGTGCCGCTGCCCAGCTGTCCCAGGATGTCCGCAAAGGCCGAGTGCTTGGGATGCGAGGCGGTCGCCTTGAGCTTAGCCTGCAGGCAGCGGAAGACGTCCTTGTTGTTGCACAGTCGCCGCTTCATGTAGTAACTCTGGAATTCGGAGCGCTGCTGCGTGGTCCAGAAGTGGGCAGTGAGAAAGGAGCGGGGGTAATAGAAGCTATGAAATACATTCCAATTACTATTATATACCGGGAATCTGAAGCCACATGAATCTTACACCAGGGGAAAGAAGGCGTAGCCCACCATTGGCAGGGAGCAGCCAATAAGGGCCGGTGCCACCTTCATCATGTCGCGCGGCATTTGCATGTACAGCTCCAGCTCCTGGCGATTCAGGGCTCGGATTCCCTGGGGCGAATCGTTGGCTATGCGGGCAATCTTCAGGAAGCGCTTCATGTCGCCGAAGAAGTCCTTGACGCCATCGAAGAACACCCGATACAGCTGCATGGCCTTGGGGAAGTTCTTTTCGAGCACTTTGTCGTAGTTCTTGACGTAGTTAAAGTAGCGCGTGAATATATAGTCCTGCATATTGTCCCGCATCTGATCCCGCTTGGATTTCAGAGTGTCCAGCTCCTTGCGCTTCTCGTCCTCGGGTTTTTTGGGCGACGGCGTTGGTGGGGATGAGGAGGCGTTGCTGCTGGGCGGGATCTTTGGCTTGTCGAGGGGCTTATTGGCATCCCAGCCCGTTTCGTAGATGACCTTGCCCACGCTGGTGATCTCGGCGGCCACATTGCGCTTGATTTGCGGCGGGGCCGCCGTCTCGGGCTTCGTGGAGTAGTTCCGGCTGCAAAATGACCGCGGCCTGTTATCGCTGTGGCTAGATAATTGAGCTTTAATGCCGATTGCTAATTGGGGTCGGGGTGCTCACCTGCTGCACAGGTGTAACAGTCGCCGGCGATCCCGGGGCCAACAGTTCGTCGGAACCGCGGCAAATCGGGCCACGCGCAACGCCAACGCCATTCTGGAACTTCAACTGCCGACCAGAAACCAGGAAGAACCCCCTTATTACGCAACCGCCGACTCCAATGCAGGAGTTGCCCACAAAAATAAAAAAATCCAAGGAGCAATTCCGAATTCCTAGTTTCGAACAGCTGTTTCAGAGTAACCGTTGCCTTTTAAACCAAAAACACCTCCAAGGATCCAGGGCTGGACGTTTAGCATAGACTCCAACCAAATACTGCAATTTTACTTTACAAAATGTCAAGAAATATTTATTTACGTTACAGGATTTAGGCATGGCTAAACCAAAAATATTTAAATTTCTTGCATTGTGAAATTACCTACATATAAAATGTATATTGTAAGGAATAGAACTTTAAAATTTAGTTTTCTTTTAACACTTCAAAAAGATATAATTAAGAAATTGAGTAAACGAAAACGAGACTTTGTAAATCCTTTATTATCAGTATGTTTTTTCTATGATTTTCTAGGAACAAAGAGTAAATCATTAAAAAATTCAAATAGTTTCAGTTTTCTTGAAAACGGAAAACAAAGTTAATATCTATTGACTTTTAAATTGCTTTATTTTTATAATTTTGCTATTCTGTTTGTGTGGCAATTTTTCTAATTTAAAAAATTTATCTTCTATAAATAATAGATAAGACAAAGCTTATGAAATTTGTATGGTAGTAGTTATAAGTTTAATGGGCAGCCTAAGACAAGGATAACTTTAAAATATGAACTTACGTTCAAATTATATTTATTATCCATAATTTATTTTTCTTTATTTTCTAATTGAAATTCTGATCTATATTTCCTTCACTTTCCTTTTCTTCCGTTTCCTGTGGCCCATTAAATTTATTGAATAGCTTAGCGCCAAAAAGCAGTTGCGCACTGCTTGATGGTGAGAGAGGCTTTCTCCCAGGTTGCAGAGGAAATTCCGCAGCTGCTGTGAGAGCGGAGAAAGCGCGCGTCAGCTTCAGTCCACCCGGAGTCGTCTGTTGCGTCGGTCGCTCGAGTCCTTTCCGCTCGCAAGAAAACACGCGGCATTTGTTTTCGCCTCGTACTAGATGCTGTCTGCAGTCGGACACAACAAAAGCAAAAGCGGTGGCAATAAAAAAAGCCACAGCGGCAGCGAGGAGCGAAATTAAGCGGAGGCGCAGGAAGAAAACAAAAAAAATAAAACGTAACTAATCACCAGGCCATCAATGGCGGCCACTTTAGGCCATTTTGTGGCATAAGCGGAAACGGAAATGTGCGTTAGTTGTTTGGCAGGAGGACGTCGACAGGGGCTCCTGGGCAATGGGAAGGGGCGGGAAAAGGGGCGGCGAGACCTTCAGCGGGAAATTGAGAAACTTAGCGCGTGTCCAACTAGCTTGACTTCCCACTTGTGTCAACGTAGGAAAAGCGGAAAAGTGGAAAAGACGGACCAAGTTGCCCGAAAGACACTCTCGAATGTCTCTTTCTGAAATGCAGACTGTGTGTGGGTGTGTGTTACATGGTGTACATATAACAGTGCGTATGTGTACGCGTGTTTTTTCCGTTTAGCTTCTGTGCGATTTATTTATCTGCCACAGGATATGGGATATGACGTGTATGCATGTATGTACACCTATCGAGCTGGAAAAGTTTCAGTTACACTATTGACACGAGCAGTAGCAGCACATCGCTGGCCCCATTTGTTTGTCCGCCCCCTCATAAAAATAGAACCAAGCGAACGGCATAAATACAACCGCCAAAGTGCCTGGTGGCCAGGTTTAATTGAAAAAACGTCGATACACTCCTTCGGGCGACCACCCGTTGGCTCCCCGCCTGCCCGAAACAGACCTTGGCCAAACTCTGGCGAAGTTCAAGGTGCCCATGCTGCCCATATTAAGTCAATTCCCACGCCTGGTCCGCCGACCATGTTCTGTGCGATTACATAAAGTGCCAATCTTGCCATCAGAATGCGTTATTCATGGAGATTTCCCTTCGCCGCCAGTCGATTCAGTATGGATTTCGCTTTATTGAATTGCCCGGCTATGAGTTGCACTTTATGAATATTTTAGTTTAGTACATTTCCATTTGGCTGGGCCATGGGAAAACAATTTCGTCGGATTACTCAGCACAATCCTTGGAATGGGCAAACATTAAGGAAAACGACAGTTGGATGAACCGGAGATGATATCACACAGCAAACTTTCATTTTACAAAATTCCATTGCAGAGGAAAAGCATTCACGTTTGCAGATTTGAATATACTTTTGCCAAAGATGGTTGTAGATTTCGCATTAAGTAATAACGAGACAATTTGAATTAAATTGTATACTTCTTTTAATTATATTAAAAAGTACAGAACAATTTATTTTACAAATTAATTCATATTTTTAGAAATGCTATATTTTCAGTAGTATGCTTAATCGTTTTGATATATATTTTTGACTAAAATCAACTACATGATTTAAAACATATTTATTTAGACACAGTACGTATAACTCCAGCTCAAAAACAAGGAAATTTGGTGTCTAAACGATAACTTTTAACGTAAAGCCACTAATTCGAAATGAACAAAGAATCAATTACCCATTCAAACCCATTTATGTCAAATGCAAGCGTTGCTCCATTTCCAATTACTGGGGTAATCTGCATGTTGATGCAGCTAGTTGTGGTCGTTCTGGTATAATTAAATTAGGGTTGCTTGCCAGCAGGGAAAGTTCGAGACCATTAACTGCCAGCGACATCCAATCAATATAGTCGACACAAACGGAAAATCGTGGCAGATGGCTAATTGCCACTTTCAGAAACTATGACAACAATTATCATAAACGGCAACACAGAAGCCGCCTAAGTGGTGTGTCATACGGCACGGCAATTTGCTGCTCGCTAAATGGAAGTTCTTTGGCCCCTTCGCTTTGCCGCTGCTATAAAGTTAATCATACGCACCGTTGAACCGCAGCCAATTCCATTACATGCTGCAATTTCAGTGCCAAAGCACTTGCAAACATGCACATGCACAGGAAAACAAATACTTGCATTGAAAAATAGTAGTCGCGAGTGGAAAATCGAGAATTGTCTTGGCTCGACCGTGAAATGTTTTGTAATAGTTTGGGTTTATTTTCCATTTGTTACGGATGTTTTCCGCAAATGCAAACACATGTAAATACTGGTAAAACGTGTGAAATTAGCGAATCAGGGATATAAGCAAATGTGAGTGACCCATTTTAGAAAGTTTTTGGTAATTATTATAGTAGGGTGCACTTTAGATGTTTCAAAGAATTTCAATTTGTCTTCTGAAACTTTAGTACTAACTACTATTACAACGCTTTCGAATGAGTGAAAGGTTTTAATGACATGTTCTGGTCAGCACTTAAATCTCTATAAAGCACTAAAATTGATATTAAAATATACTGCCCAAAAACTGAACACACAAATCAAAATGTAAATTAGCTTGAGTCACGGAAAATAAATTTCTAAAGATTAAAAATATAATTTAATCTTAAAGCGTGCTTTAAAAGTTTTTTGAACTTCTTAATCTGACTTTTGTATATAAATATTAACTTAAAATTATGTTTAAAGCAACTATTATTTTACTTTAGATGTTTTCCTACAAAATGTTCAAGTCATGACTTTCAAGGTCAGAAAAAAAGTTTCTAGATTGCTATTTCTCGGCACATCTCTCGACTTCATTTGTAAAGCCCGCTTTTTGCTGTTGTCAGGGTTTATTATCTGCAAACTCATCGAAATTGGCTTTTCTTGTTTCATTGTGGATGGGGGAAAAGTGCATAGTTTGGATTCCTTAATGCCCACAAGAAGGTGGCGACAATGGCAAACGACGTTGGCGAAAAAATTCATGGCACGCGAAAATGCGTTTAAAAGTGGGCTTAGCTGGGGTGGCAGCAGTAAGCCCATTGTGCAGAAGTCCGGGTGTGGAATTCGGGGTCCTCGGCATATATGCAAATTCAATCCTTTGCTTTTCTCGCACTCATAGACACACACACACACACACACACACACACACACACAAAGAAAACAACCGCCCAGGGAAAACAACAAACAACTGCAGTGAGTTGTGGTGAGTGTGAGTGACAGCCTAGCAGACACCTTGTCAATGTCTTGCGGCTACGAATAACCCCGGTCCGTCCGGATTCCCCCACTCCGGAGACATATCCACGCGTTGCCAGGCAATGTAAAGTCCACAGAAACTTTTAAGACTTCCTAAGTTTTTTTTCAGAATTTTCCTCTTAAGATTGAGAAAGACTTTGGAAAGTTATTTTAGTACAAAAAATATATTAAATATTATAAAAAAAGCAAAACAATACAAAACAAAGAATAATACGTATTTATTCTAAAAACAATTAAATTAATAAAAAATGTAAAATGCTAAGATTAAGCTTATATTTGTTGTTTAAACCTAATTTCTTGTGATTAAATATTTATTTTATTAAATTTGAAATGTATAGAAACAAAGTAAAGGTACTTTGTCCTGCGCATTGAAATTATTTTCTCAGGTATACCATTAATTTAAAAAAATGTAAACATCGCAATTTTTGAAGACAGATTGAAATAGTTCAACAATGCAACATGTTCCTTTTCCAGAAGTGGAAATGAAAATAGGTGTTTAATTGATGGGATGTAAAGCACTAATATTTTTTTTCCGTGCACCAAACAACTCAAGTAAGACCAACAACAGCAACAATGACAACAGACGAGAGCAAGCCAAGTGGCAGCAACACAGCTGACTGACTACACATTTGCATACACTAAGGTGTATTTCTTTTTTTTTTTTCATTGAAGGTGGCACAAGTTTGAACACTGTTGCTGCTTTTGTTTTTGGGCCTTGAATGAGCCGCGGGTGTTGCTTTAATGAATGTGCAATGTTAATGCATTTCTTTGGCAAAATTCGAAGAACAAAAAGTGTGGCATACTTCTGTGGGCCCTGCAGGAATTCCATGGAGAAATGAATTAGCTTGGCTTGCAGAACGTCCAATTAGCATTTTAGATATTTTCATGAGCTGGTAAATTTCACACTAATTTCGGAAGCCGAAAAGTTTTGGCTGCATTTCCAAAAACAAATCATTTTATAGGAAAACCTTTTTATAATAATAATAATTGAAAGTAAAGTTTATAATGTGCACATTTTAATTTGATTTAATTCATTCGAAACATACTTCAAACTTTAATAACAATTAATTCTTTAAATTAAATTAAATAAACATTTTTTTTGCGGTATATAATGACTTTGTAATTCTTTCAATGATAATTTAAATGAACATTTAACAAAAGTCACAAAATTAGATAGAAACTTTTTGGTAACTTATTCGGTAAAGTTTCGACTGCTGTCAAAAACTTTATTTTTCAATTAAAGCATTAAAAAGAAAAGCCCAACTGAATAATTGCACTTTAATGACTTAATAAAATAGATAAATGGAAGCAAACTTTCAGTTGCTGAACAAAAAACTAAACTTTCACTTAAATGCCTCTTATTAAAAGCATTTTAATCGTTTTAAAGTGATCTGTAAATTTCATATAGATTTAAGTCAATTAAAATCGTCTAAGAATAAGATTGATGGATATGTGATGCCTCAATCAAAAAGCGATTAACCGAATTTAATTACAACTGGCGAAATAATGCAAAATGTCTATTTAATTAAGTTACAATCTGGGGGGAGAACAACCAGAAAACCACAGCGCAATCAACACATTTCAATGGGCATTTCAAGCGCAGCTAATCCGTCGACAGTAAATTTTGGCCAGCTTTCCCAGCCCAGACTCCGTTAACCAACCCGAAAATCGATTCCCTGTGGCTCTCCAACCGAAAGCGCCATAAACTGCAACGTAGTTGTCTGTGGGCCAGATTTGCAGACTGCATCATAGATAACCATTTACATTTACGTTTGTTAATTATGTATGCAGCCTGGAAATGTGGCCAAACAAGGAGCGTTGAAGGATATTTGGATGGTTGAGGGGCCAAAGGAAGAGCACTGCAAATGCAGTCGAGCCCAAGAGGCAAATAAAGGCTCAAGAAGTTAAACCAGTCAGTTTAAGTATGTGCCATGTAAACCATTCCAGCACACACATATAGTTCGGATCAGTGGGGTGTGTAGGATTCCGTGAAGAGGGGATTTTGTCTTTAGGAAGGGCCTTATAAAATAATTTACATAAATTATCAGTAGGTAACTAAAATTAATTTTTGTACAATTAAATTTTAAGTTTATAAGTGCTTTGGTTGCTGCCTTCAATCTTTTATAACCAAGTGTGATATTGAAATGGCGTAATGTAGCTCACTATCTGGGTATTTATAAATAAAATAAATTCGATTTATTATTGTTTGTTGCTAAAAATTGAGCATATATTTTTTTCTATATATTTTTTTGAGATCTAAGATCTTACTAAAATTTGATTAGTCCATAAAAACCAGTTAAAGAAAATATTCTATGTGTGTTAATTACTTTGCTTCTACATTTGTAACATGCTTTTATTTTTGTTCGTATCCCAACTAAAAGGATTTATTACCCCAAATGGGGTCCTTTTCTACACCACTGGCCAGGATAGCATGTTGCTCTAGTCTCCGTTTTGCCAACGATTTGCCGACTCAAAGCACACAGGCTCACAAAAACGGCTTTAGATTGTTGCCATGTCGAGGTGGCTTCGCTCAAATTTATTTAAATAGCAAGAGGACATGGATGGGATGTATGGGCGGAGTGCGGATGATGCTCTCTTTGCGTGCCGCTGAGTGCGGGAAATTGAATTAAGTTTTCATTTAGCAAATAAGTTGTAGCTGCCGCAGCATACACAAATTGCATTATTTATTGCACTTTACAGGGGCGACCCCAAATAAACAATCATCACATAAATACGTAATCAACAAGCGGCCCCAAAAAAAAGAGACGCTTTGGCTGGCAGCCAAATCGGCAAACCACCCACCGCCTACTACCCACCACTCACCACCCAGCCACCCACCGCAGCATGTAAAGCTCGGGGGGCGGGGGGAGTGGCACAGACACTTTGCGAGAAGGCGGAGCAAAAGTGGGAGTGAAGCGATGTGAGGGCAAAACAGTTTGTAATATTAAAGAACAGACGCGAGGAGGACGAGCACCTGTTGCTGAACCGGCCAAAAAGGACTTTACCGAAGTGCACTGGACGGGGTGAGAAAGTGGCGGGGAAATTTCTGGTGAAAGGTGAAAGCCGTACACTGCAACAATGGCCGTTAATGTACTGGACTACGATCACTTCGCCATCAGCGCCATCGTGGTGGGCAGCCTGCAGCTGTTCTTCTTTTTGGTCAACTCCATGCTCCACATGGACAAGCTGACGGACTTTGCCGGCGGTGTCAACTTCATCATCATCTCCCTGCTGACCTTCTTCCTCGGCCAAATCGATCGCCCTTCGAAGGTAAGTAAAATTTACTAGTTTTTTTTGGTTCTATTTTACGAATTTTTAAATTTAAATGCCTTTAATCTATTTATTTTACTGGGCTAGCGTTTTTTATATTTATTATTATTATTATTATTGTTAAGATATGGACCATATTATTAATCATATTCGTATGAGGTAAGGCCTACACAAAACTTCAATTTAAAGTTTGAGATAAAAAAAATTATAAATTCTGATGCTCATTTGAATGAGTACTTCAATATCAAAGTGCAAACTATACTTTTCTTACAGATTTCAGCGTGCTAAATGGCTAAAAATAGTTAATGGAAATGTATAAAAAACAGTATACATTTTTCATTGTAAAAAAATGGTAAAATTTAGTATGCCAATTTTTTTACAATAAGAAAATTTATATCTCAGCACATTTAAACTTGGCTAAATAATTATCCATTTTGTTTTTTTTATAGGGCAAAAGTAGTACAAAGACACTATTTTACTCTGCAGACCTTTCTTCACTACCAATAGTAAAAAACAATGGTTAATTACCGTTAAGCGAAAAAATAATTCAATGAAATGCATTAATGCTTATCCAAATATATGTTATCTAACACTGTAATTATAATATGTATTGCTACATTTAAAAATTAACATAATTCATTCGTTTTGTTGGTTTTTTGTAGCTCGTTAGCTTTCATTGTATCGCACATTTTGGAGCAAAATTAAATTCTGTGAACTTGAAGCGTGACCATAAACATTTCGCCCAACTGGGCGTGAATGGGCTGCTGCAGTGGGTGGTGGTTTATGGTGGGTGGTTGGTTTCGACTGCTGACATTGAAAACTGAGTTTTGCATACGCACGCAGACACAGACATCAACGCATACAGACGAAAACATCCATTGCCGACAAACAAAAGGTTACGCCCATCGAGGCCCACAATTCAGCAGTTGTTTCTCGTTGTTGGCTGTTGTTCCTTTTTGTTGTTGCTTTGTTTGTAGTTGCTGTAGTGCTGCTGTCGCCTGTAGCTTGTGGGTCTCCTTCTGGCAGAACATGACCTTGGCATCGTGAGGGTCCTCGATCTGTCTGTCGGCGTGTCCTTCCGCCAGCCTAACACGCTGCCTGAGCAGCCAACTAAAGCTGTTTGGTGCCAGCCTGAAAGCGACCTGATGGCGAACCAATCCAACGCTATCTATCTGCACACAATTTTCAAATAATTAATCCGACTTGATGGCCAATTTCGTAATTATCCCATTCATTAGCACGGTGGGTAGAAGGAAAATCGTGTTTACCTTAGTGATGACAAACAGCCCATTTTAGGACCTCGTAATGGAGTGAGTGATATAGCAGTTGTAGTAGCAGTACAACCGGGATACAATTTTAAATTTGTTTAGTTTGTACTTTTTTAAGACACAACACAAAAGAAAGCAACTTCTGTAAGCCGAGGTTTATATATCCTTGAACCTTTTGCAAAAACTAAATATTCTTCAAAATAATTTTACGTTAAAAGACAGTAAAGCTATACGGAAATTCCTAAGTCCTGAGCTTAGAATCGTTTTATGCTTGAAAATGTCTTTATCCTTTTTTAATCTCTTAATTTTTAATTCAATATTGTCCAATCTCTAATATTTATTTAAGTAGGGAGATAATTCTATCTTATTTTCTCAGTACCTTGTTACAATAAGTCCAACATTTTGGCTTCAATATATGAAGAAATATATTTGCAATTTAAGTGCCACATGTTCGTAACTTGTATTTTAAATACCCCACTATTTCAAAAGAAACCTATGTTTATCCTTCAATGCTGACACATTTATACCGCAGGCTCTTCAATATAATTACTTCCGTGCAGACATCAATTCAATAAAATTTGTTTAAAAGATTTTAATGATGATTATCGTTATTATGAAGTGAAAGGCTCGTTTTCAATTTTCAGTGTCCAACTTTCGTAATTATTGGCTGTCATTACCGAACGTTGATTATCTTAACTGCTGTCACTGGCATGCTAAAGGCTCTTTTGTTATAATTAATATAAAGCATAAACCTATTTTCAGTTAATTAAAAACCTCTTGGAGAGAGCTTTATTAAGATTTATTTATAATAATAATTGAAATATGAAAAGACTAAAGGAAAGTGCGAACAAAGGCCGTAAGAGCTTTTTGTTTCAGTTACCGATTTTAACCACCCCTCAATGTATCGATTTACTGAAGAGCCCAACGAACAATTCGCACAGCACGGCACAAGCAAATTGAGAAATAAATTCTTACTTATCTGCTGTTGATTTTTGTTGGGCAAACAAAGCGGTATGCAAAAACAAACAATCAAGGGAAAAGCCAAATTTAAAATCTTTTCTAACACACCCACATCCATTGAAGTAGATTTAACTTTTACGCCCACGTTTTTGTGTGGCAAACACATCCACAAAACAAACAAAGAAACGAATGGCAAAGTATTAAATCTCATCGACCACGCAAACTGACGTTCAATTAATTTCTGCTTCGACATTTTTGTGGCAATAACGAATTGGCCATCGATCGTAAATTAAAATGAATTTTCTACCGCCACCCATTAAGTTAGCAATGAAAATGTTTTTAAAGCCATTCCGCGAAGCGGAGACAGCCGGCAAAATGGCGGACGCAGGACGTCGAGCGGAAACGGAAGTGCTGCTGCCATTGCTTGTGGCTGCTGCTGTTGTTGTTGTTCTGGTTTTTGTTGTTGCTGTTGCTGTTGCATGTGCTGCACTATGGCTCCGCAGCTGTGTGATGGCCATAAAAATGGTTTACTGCCCTTCTATACAGTCGCCTGTCGATGCTTTATCGTCGTTCAGTCCCGCTTAATAAATCGAGCGATAAAATGGCTTGAGCCTCGGGTGAAAAGGCAGCTCAATCAGACTACAAAATAGGCAATCAGGCCGCTCTGCCATACGACAAACCCATTAAACTATCAACAGAGAGGCCATATCCTCCCAGCCCATTTTATCCATGACCTCGCCATCGCCTTCCACCCAGTGACTTTGGCTGGCGGTTACGGTTACGGTCATGAGCCGCCAATTCACTGCCATTGACAAAGCAATTTAACAATTTTTCCTGCATTTTTCATGAGTCGTTTGACGAAGGAGCGGCTGGCTTCTCCATCCATGCCGAATGCCGTATGCATTTCTGATTCGGTTCGCCCGTCAATGCCGTTTATAAATATGCAAAGTGCAGTCGACTCATTCATTATTGACCCCTGCCCGACTGACCACCCTTGGCCACAATTTTGGCAGGGCGGAGCATAGAACCGCTGGCACTCGTGCGTGCACCGCTTTATTTATGCAAAATTTGCATGACCACCGAAAGTGGTTTTGTAAAATATTATATCCACTAAAAAATACACAAAAAAGTTCTCCTCTGACGCGGCAAAAACTGAAAACTCGTGCAAATTGCTCGTTGGCCAATGAATTTTTGTACGTTCGGTGGTGCGGAGACGAATTGCAGGATACCCTAGGTGAGGTCAAATGGCTTTGTTATTGTGAAGACACTAAAATAGTTACGAGAGTAGCTTCCTGTCCAAGGATACGTGGCAGCCAAGCCTTGAACTCGAACTTTCGCCGAGCCTTCCTCAGTTGCCTTAAAAATATATCTCATTCGGAAAATGAAAACCACTAAATGTTTATTGCAATTCGGACAGGTTACGACCACACTCGGCAGTTTATTGCCCAAAAATCTGCAGAAATGGAAGCATAGCCTTGCTCTTTAAGAGAAGGAAAATTTTCTTCATAAGAAACTTTTTCAACTTGTATTTGTTGTAAGCCAAACAAAAATTGAGAAAGCCATATGTTAATACAACAATTTAAACTTGCTCTTATACTGGATAGAAAATATTTATGTTTTGTGCTTTCAAGTCTTTCAAAGTTAAGTTACTTAATTATTTTGAAGTCAAAACTAAACAGCTTACATTTTTAATAATTTGCTCATACATAGTTTATTTACAAAACTCGTTCCTAAAACTTTCTTACAAAATAATTATTTCTCATTCTAATAAATATTTATGTAACATTTTTTTGAGTTTAAGTTAAATTTGCTACCTATGCTTATTCATTATAAAACGTTTCAGTTTTTAAACTATAACTAGCACATTAGGATAATTTTTACCGTAAACTTGACATAAATCGGTTCGATAGGTGTATAACTTGTAAGTGTATTATTTAATTTTTGGGATGATAGTTTCAAAATGACTTAAATGACCTTAACTGAATGATTATTTCTTTATTTTATAACCTTTTTCAGGCCTACGACAGTCGCCAGCTGATGGTCACGCTCTTTGTTTGCCTGTGGGGCGCCCGGCTCTCCGGATATTTACTATATCGCATTATAAAGTTGGGCCGCGACAAGCAGTTCGAGGATACCCGGAGCAACATCATCCGCTACGCGGTCTTCTGGACGTTCCAGGTGAGCTCGGATCAATCGCTTGCGTCAGCCACTTTTCAATTCAACTCTCAATGACAGAACCTTCAACTTGGAGGTGGAAAATCAATCAAACTGTCACTAATTGACACGTGCGCAAAGGTTTTGAAAATTTCATATTTCAGCACCTGTCGGCTTGTGCCGCCCCACATGGGTGGCAATGATCCACACCCACAGCAACACCCACAGCAACACCCACACCCACACCCCCAACGACCAACAATTAAAACGCCATTCTCTGTGGCAGAGTGACATGACACATGTGGGCGACACCAACTAAACGTTGGTTGGGTTGTGGGTGGTGCCTTGCTGCAAGTGGCAAGTGGTGGCTGGCTGTCCGGCCTTCATTGTGTGTGGTGCTGGTGCCGCCGGCATTGGCGTGCTGCAAGTGCCATGTCCTGCCATCGTTTTGTCTCCATTTATTTCGCATTTTGCCCGAATTCCAATCACTTGTTGCCAGTTGAAATTCTGGCATTGAAATTGGAAATATACAACTGCCAAATTGATCTCAATCACTTGTACCTCACAATAATAAACTTTTAACGATGAGTATTTATCAAACTATTAAAACGATAACAAGAAAGAAAGCAAACTTCGGCAAGCCGAAGTTCATATACCCTTGCAGCTATTGCATGAATTAAATACTTTAGAAAATATTTAAATTATAATTTACTTGAGTATATGCTGAAAAACATTGAAACTATGATGATTTGCAGCTCAATTATAAGATAGTTATTTTATATATTTTTATTATTTCTATGGGAGCTATATGATATAGACGTCCGATTTTGATAAAATTTAAACCATAATTCTGAAATAATTAAACATTGCTATATGTCGAAGAACTAAACAAAAAGTATAAAACAGAAAAGTTATAATTTTTTTTCATTTATTTTTCCGATTGTTCCTATGGGAGCTATATGCTATAGTCGTCCGATTTTGATGAAAATTAAAACATAATTCTGAAATACTTAACCATTACTATATCTCGAAGAGCTAAACAAAAAATTAAAAAACAGCAAAATTATAATTTTTTTTCATTTATTTTTCCGATTGTTCCTATGGGAGCTATATGCTATAGTCGTCCGATTTTAATGAAATTTAAACCGTAAATCGGGAATATTTAACCATTACTAAATGTCGAAGAACTAAACAAAAAATTAAAAAACAGCAAAGTTATAATTTTTTTTCATTTATTTTTCCGATTGTTCCTATGGGAGCTATATGCTATAGTCGTCCGATCCGGCTCGTTCCGACTTATATACTACCTGCAATAGAAAGACAACTTTTGGGAAAGTTTCATGCAGATAGCTTTAAAACTGAGAGACTAGTTTGCATATAAACGGACGGACAGACGGACAGACGGACAGACGGACAGACGGACAGACGGACATGGCTAGATCGACTCGCCTAGTGATGCTGATCAAGAATATATATACTTTATAGGGTCGGAGATGTCTCCTTCACTGCGTTGCAAACTTCTGACTGAAATTATAATACCCTCTGCAAGGGTATAAAAATGTTGATATAAGTGGCTATGATTGAATATTAAAATTAAACAGACTATTATGTACCAAACCATTAAGAACAACAAAATGTGTATATCAGAGACTGTGATATAGGAATTTATTCTTAAAGAACAGTTTTTTATGTGTTTTGTGGTTTCCTTCAAAATGATAAATAAATTAGATTTCTAAATGATATTCAATTTTCAAAAATGTTATTAAAACCTTCAGTGTTTCTTTTATTTTGTTTGCTTAAACTCGACGTCATTGGATATAGAATATTTCTAAAATACAACGTTTTAAATAACTTTCATGCACTGAACGCTCATATTATTATTTTATCATTTATTTTATATTTTTTTTAGGCCGTGTGGGTTTACATAGTGTCACTGCCTGTAATAATCATAAACTCGCCGCGCCACTCGCAGCCGCATGCCCCAAAGACGATGACCACACTGGACTCCACGGGTACGGGTATGTTCATCGTGGGCTTGCTGGCGGAGACCTATGCGGACCTGCAGAAGTTCTCGTTCCGCCAGGATCCGGCCAATCAGGGCAAGTTCTGCAATGATGGTAAGTCAGATTATACATAATTCTCAATTAATCAATAAGATATAATGGATAATATTAATAAAAGGCCTGTGGAGCGTGTCACGGCATCCCAACTATTTTGGCGAAGTGGTCATCTGGTGGGGCATTTTTGCCATATCCCTGAATGTGATCAGCGGCCATGAGTGGGTGGCGATTGCCTCACCCATTTTCACCACGATGATCATTCTCTTTTTGTCGGGAATTCCCTTGCGGGAACGAAGTGCCGATGAAAAGTACAAAGAGTAAGTAGCGCATTTAATACATTTTTTTAAATAGCTATAAGTGAAGTGAAAATAGTAACATTTCTTTTTGGAGAAGACTTTTTTATTGAATCATTATAAAAATAAATGATTAGCTTTTAAGGTAATAGTTTATCCCATTGGTAAGCTGTTTATCCCATTGCCTTACAATTACTTATAAATAGACACTGGATAATAAACAAAAGCAGATTCTGAACATTCGATTTTAAGAAAACACAAGTTTTTTTACATAAAAACCTAATTTGATTCAAACTAAATATAATTTTGATTAAATTAAATCAAAGTTTGCTTGAAGTCGATGTCTTCTTTTAATAACAGGGACCGTAATTCTTAAAAGTTTTATTTTAAAGATCCTTAAATAATAAAAAATATTAAAAGTTAAAACTGTATTGTTTAGTTCTGCAACGCTTCTAATATTATATATATATATTTGCAGCCAGCTGGAGTACCGGAAGTACAAGGCCTCGACCTCGCCGCTGATCCCAGTGCCGCCTGCCGTCTACGTGGAGGTGCCCAGTGCCCTCAAGTTCATCCTGTGCTGCGAGTTCCCCATCTACGACTCGATGCGGATCCAGAAGGACCTCAGTCCGTACTCGCTGTCGATAGCGCGCTCGCACTCGCACATCTAGCAGTCAGTGGCCCACTCCGGCAGTGCGACGGCTGGCGTGGGTCAACTGACCGCCCACTCGACGGGCCATGGTCAGGGGCAGGGTCATGGCCAGGGTCACTCGGTGGCCCACTCCCTGCACCGGGGCCAGTGCTACGGGGCCAATGGCGGCGATGCCGAGAGCCACCACAACTGCGGCGGTAGCTGCCGCAACGTGCACGTCAAGTCGAATCCGTACCAGTGCGAGTCGGGCTACGGCCACTATCCGGTGTGCCACACGGACGACGACACGGACGACGGGATCATCTACATGGACCGCACCCACTTCTACCACGAGCAGGACGGCCACCAGGCGAAGGCGGCCGGCGCCAAGTGCAGCTACCTGGCGGAGGAGGAGCTGGCCTCCGACTACGACGAGGATGTGCCGGCCATCGACCTGAGCAAGGCCACCAGCGTGGAGACCTTCGCCACCCGGGTGCAGTCGGAGCAGGTCGTGAATGCCGATGGGTTGCCCGTGACAGTGACCACGATTTTGTGATTGCCACTTTAAGATTTGCTCTCGATCGGATTGGAATTTTATATTGGATGTACAATGGGGTGGATCTCTGTTGGCTGATATTTTAAAACCATAATATTTAAATATCTAGAAAATTACACTTGAGTTGGAGTTTTCGCAAAATAATCACTCATACGACAGGTAAGCCAGTTCCTGTCAATACGTATGAGTGATGTATATGATAGGAATTTATTCAGCAGAAATACTCCAAAGGTCGTTTTAGATACTTAAGAGGTTTATGTTTATCAACATTTCGATGGGTGAGTTTTGGTGAACATAAATATAGAAAATGTACTATATGTTTTAGGAGCTTTAGATCAAAAACAGTCGTTTTCTGGCAGCCCAGGGCCAATGTTCTTGTAAATAAAATGGGTGACCAAAAAGTAAATTGAAATGGGTTTGTTAACCCCAAATCGAAACGAAACCCTAAGGTACAACCTTACATTTTTGTTGATTCAACTGCGTTCCACCCTTTTGTACATACATAATGATGGGGAAAGGGGATTACTTTAGCTGACGAATGCCAAAATACTCACAGCTGTCTAACACTATAGTCTCTATGCTATTGTTGCTCAAATAACTAATGTGCCTCTTATGTGCCCAGCGCACCCTTAGATTGTTGCACTCTTTCAAAGTTTACGCTAGTCTCTGTTGAACCCACGTTGCTCCGCGACTACTGTTGCCACCCCCCCCAGATCAAGAATGGAATTAAAATATATCTCTATATCTCTGTAGCATATGTATTTTCTTATCGAACCGCAAACCATACCCCACCAAACAAAAGGAACCGAATCTGAGGCCATTTAAACTGAAACATATCCCAAGGCAACGGCCATCCAACCAATGGGTCGCCATTAATTAAAATAGGAAGAACGTTCAATAGCCATTGTTATTTTATATACTGGAATATCTACTCGCAGTAGCTAATGACAAATATACCCCATGTTACCAACAATGTTTGCAATAAGTGTACGTGTCGGTGTCTAGTTTGTGTCTCAAATGTTAAGCAGTATTACCTAACGAACGAATTGTACCTAATTGATTATTGATTATGCTGAGTATGGAAAATAATAAACGAAACTTAAGAAAGTGGTGTTTAACTTTGTGTTTAACGAGGGGTTTGTAAATGATTTTAATAAAACTTAAAATAATCTAAACTTTGAAAACATAAAAAACAAAAACTTCCGGAACTCGAATTACCATCTGTCACCAAAATAAGATCGACTTATGAAATCTTCAGGTTATATAAATGATTTTACCAGCTTTCTATGGACAAAACCAATTCGTCTTAAAGATTTATTGAGTTACGAAAGTGCATTAAATAATAAATGATAATATTAATATTAAGGAAAAGAAGTAAATTAAACAATTGATTTTTGTAAAACTTTTTTCAACTTATTAAGTGCTAACTTTATCTTAATTTATAAGTACAACAATCTTTCCTGGAGCCCAATTCAGTCCGTGTAGGCCATGGAAAACCGGAGTAGATGGCTCTGACCCATCCGTCACCCGACTTCCCGTTCCGTTTGCTACCCGACCCCGAGCCATCACCCATAGCTTCAGTATCCGTAAACGTCTCGTAGAGTTAACAACTCGGTAAAAAAAATTGATTGTACAAAAATTACCTGTTATTAGATTTACTTTTTATTTCCACCTTATTGGATACTAAATTTTAAGAGAGTTAAATTCTCAGTTCATTTTTTCGGTCTACTGACATTTTTTTTTGGAGGGGTACTTGCTTGTAAGGTAGAACGCAGGGGCAATGTTTCGTAAATCGCATCAGCTGCTCTTCCGCATCTGCAGTCGGTCGGCCGTGAGCCACCAGTATGCGCCGAAGGTGATCCGGCGGCCCTATGCCTCGCAGGCCATCAACCAGATGCTGTTGCTCCAGCAGATGGACATCTGTGCGGACCAGCCCTCGCGGGCGTTGGTCATCGGAGTCTACGCGGACGAGGAGGACAAGAACGACGCCGGCATCCTGACGCCCGCCGGCTGGCGGTACAACCTGCAGAAGACCAATGGCCGACTGATCGAGGTGCTCCGGATGTCGGGACCCATGCCCAGGAGGGGCGAGGCCCGCCTCCTCTTCGCCGTGGAGCCGGATCGTATCCCCTACTACTCCGTGGTGGCCGTCGTGGGTCTGGGCAAGGAGTGCCTGGGCTACAATCCCTACGAGGTGCTGGACGAGCAGAAGGAGGCCATCCGGCGATCGGTGGCCGCTGCCTGCCGGATTCTCGCCGAGCTGGACACCGACCGAATCGAGGTGGAGAACTGCGGACATGCCGAGTCCGCAGCGGAGGGAGCTGCCCTCGGAATCTGGCTGTACCAGGAACTGCGCGACCCCAAGACCCGAATCTTCGTCCCGGCCATCGATTTGTACGCCACCAAGGACGAGGTTTGCGACATCGAGGGATGGCGCATTGGACTTCAAAAGGCTGCCGCCCAGAATCTGACCCGCCAGCTGCAGGAGATGCCCTCCAACCTGCTGACTCCCACTGCCTTTGCCCAGAACGTCGTCGAGGTGCTCTGCAAGTCCGGAGTGAACGTGGAGGTCAAGGTCGAGGGCTGGGCGGAGAGCCAGTCGATGCATGCCTTCCTGGCGGTGGGCAAGGCCTCCTGCGAGCCACCCATCTTCCTGGAGCTGAGCTACTACGGCACGTGTGCCGAGGAGCGACCCATCGTCCTGGTTGGCCAGGGAATCACCTACGACGCCGGCGGTCTGTGCCTGAAGAAAAAGCACGAGCTCTTCCACATGCGCGGCGACATGACCGGAGCCGCTGTGGTGGTGGCCACCTGTCGGGCTGTTGCCGGTCTAAGATTGCCAGTAGGTTACTTAAACGCCACCCAGATTCCCCTAGCTAACTATCCTCCTCTTAGGTAAACATCCGCGGCCTCATCCCTCTGTGCGAGAACGTAGTGGGCTGCAACTCCTTCCGACCGGGTGACATGGTGAAGTCTATGAACGGCAAGACCATCGAGGTGCAGTGCACAGACCACGAGGATGTGCTCGTGCTGGCTGATGCCCTGCTGTATGCCCAGAACTTCTGTCCCAAGTGCATCATCGACATTGGCACCTGCTCGGGATACATGCGTCAGTCGCTGGACGAGGCGGCCTGCGGAGTGTTTACCAACTCGGAGATCCTCTGGCAGCAGATTAAGCACGCCAGCATGCACACCGGGGATCGCGTGTGGCGCTTCCCCCTGTGGCACTACTACACCAAGGCGGTGCGTGCCGGAGGACGCAGTGATGTCCAGAACTACGGCATCGGTCGCGGAGGTCGTCCTTGCAAGGCCGCCGCCTTCCTGCGAGAATTTGTGCCCTGCGGCCAGTGGATGCATATTGTAAGCTGGTCTCTTTTACAATTTGTAGGACATCCCATTATCTCCTTTATCCTTTTAGGACGCCACCAATGTGATGGTCACCAACGGAATCGACTTCGAGTACCTGCGACGTGGAATGGCTGGCCGACCTACGCGCACCCTCATCGAGTTCATCGCCCAGACAATCTGCAAGGACACCGCTCCTAAGATGGGCAAATAGGAAGAGAATTTGGGGGGAGGAGCAGCTGACCCAAGATGGCCACATCCCAAAATCATTAGCAGCGCTGACACCACGTACACGTTTTGGTGAACTTTTCTTTTTAGTCTGTGCAAGTCCCTTCACAGTTGCAAACGAGATTGTTCCCAGGCCAAAAAAATTGTTTGTTTGTTCTAAGTCATCTATTATTTAAACAAATTATCTTTCGAGTTAAATAAAATATAAAATATAGTTTGTTCTAGTGTTATTCGGAAATCAGACAAATGGTTCAAAAGGTTGTTTAAAAAATTTATCAATTTCAAACTAAAGGTGGCCCCGAAAAAAAGCTGTCTTTGGTGGCGCCATCTGCAGGACCTCCCGCTTTCTAATGCGGAGCAGCGGCAGAGTACGTCACGAACAGTGTTGGCATATCAGAATGAATGAAGTCGTAATATAACATAAATGCCATTAACTTCTAAAATATCAGCTCGATTATGAAAATTTTAATCTACCGACAAATACGACAAGAACTCACAAACACAGAGCAATAACTAACCTCCACCATGTTTCAGAGTGACTGACATACTTTCGCGATTTGTGGGCGTTAGAGTGGACGTGGTCATGTTTTAAAATTTTCATGCGCTGCGGAGGCATAACTAAAATCTGCAGGCTTAATCCAAAAGCTCACGCTTTTATAGTTTCTGAGATCTCGCCATGCATTCGGACGGACAGACATACAGACGGTTATGGCTGAGTCGACTCGGCCATTGATCCTGATAAAACAAAATAAAAAATATATATACATATATACTTTTCAACTCTCTCTAATTTAGCACTCGATTGAATCAAATTCTTTGCACAGTGTAAGCCGTAGCAGGCACGGTCTTACGAAAAGTATTTAGCCCAAACGATCTTATAGATCTAGCAGCCTTTTAGATTTCTCTGTCAGTGCCACGTCGAAGAGGTGCCACATAGGACCGACCAGCTCAGTATCATTTTTATTCGTTTCGAGGTTGAACACGTACACATTTTTAGCTAATCTGGGTGAAAAAATTCTATGAAATATTTTAAGGTGGCACAGAAAATCGAAAAGCAAGTTTTCCTTTGCATTGATCAAAGTTTTAAGTTCAACTTCAAGCAAAATGTTTCGTTTATCGCGTAATGCACTTACCCGGGTCTGTACCATCGCCATCCGCCGGCCGGAAGTGGTGATCCGTCATCGCAAGTACGCCTCGCAGGCGATCAACCAGATGCTGCAGCTCCAGCAGATGGAGATCTGCGCGGATCCCCCATCTCGTGGCCTGGTCATAGGCGTCTACGCCGACGAGGAGGACAAGAACGACGCCGGCATCCTCACGCCCACCGGCTGGCGGTACAATGTGCAGAAGACGCACGGCCGGCTGCTGGAGGTGCTGCGCATGTCGGGACCCATGCCCAAGAGAGGTGAGACCCGCCTGCTGTTCGCCGTGGAGCCGGAGCGGGTGCCCTACTACTCGGCGGTGGCGGTCGTCGGGTTGGGCAAGGAGTGTCTGGGCTACAATCCCTACGAGGTGCTAGACGAGCAGAAGGAGGCCATCCGGCGATCGGTGGCCGATGCCTGCAGGATACTCGCCGAACTGGACACGGACCGCATCGAGGTGGAGAATTGTGGCCATGCTGAGTCCGCAGCGGAGGGAGCTGCTCTGGGTATTTGGATCTACCAGGAGCTGAGGGATCCCAAGCGGCGGGTGTCGGTGCCGTCCATCGATTTGTATGCCACCAAGGACGAGATTTGCGACATCGAGGGATGGCGCATTGGACTTCAAAAGGCTGCCGCCCAGAATCTGACCCGCCAGCTGCAGGAGATGCCCTCCAACCTGCTGACCCCCACTGCCTTTGCCCAGAACGTCGTCGAGGTGCTCTGCAAGTCCGGAGTGAACGTGGAGGTCAAGGTCGAGGGCTGGGCGGAGAGTCAGTCGATGCACGCCTTCCTGGCGGTGGGCAAGGCCTCTTGCGAGCCACCCATCTTCCTGGAGCTGAGCTACTACGGCACCTGTGCCGAGGAGCGACCCATCGTCCTGGTTGGCCAGGGAGTGACCTACGATGCGGGTGGCTTGTGCTTAAAGGAAAAGCAGGAGCTCTTCCACATGCGGGGCGACATGACGGGAGCAGCAGTGGTCGTGGCCACCTGTAGAGCAGTGGCTGGACTAAGATTGCCAGTAAGTAGCTTTCACTAGTTCGGTAGTTTGGGCTTATAATCCCGGTTTTAGGTAAACATCCGTGGTCTGATCCCCCTGTGCGAGAATGTGATTGGCTGCAACTCCTTCCGACCGGGTGACATGGTGAAGTCCATGAACGGCAAGACCATCGAGGTGCAGTGCACAGACCACGAGGATGTGCTCGTGCTGGCCGATGCCCTGCTCTACGGGCAGAACTTCTGTCCGAAGTGCATCATTGACATTGGTACTTGCTCGGGGTACATGCGCCAGGCGTTGGATGAGGCGGCCTGTGGAGTGTTCACCAACTCGGAGATCCTGTGGCAGCAGATCAAGCACGCCAGCATGCACACTGGGGATCGCGTGTGGCGCTTCCCCCTGTGGCACTACTATACCAAGGCGGTGCGTGCCGGAGGACGCAGTGATGTCCAGAACTACGGCATCGGTCGCGGAGGTCGTCCTTGCAAGGCAGCCGCCTTCCTGCGGGAATTCGTGCCCTGCGGTCAGTGGATGCATATTGTAAGTGCAGATTTTGTAAGCCATTTGTCTTGCATTTATTGATAATTTTCCTCTCAGGACGCCACCAATGTGATGATCACGCGCGGCGACGAGTTCGAGTATCTACGACAGGGCATGGCTGGACGGCCAACGAGGACACTCATCGAGTTTATTGCGCAGTCCATATGCAAGGATACGGCTCCCAAGCTCAACAAATGATCCTTCGAACGGTGTTTACTTGTTTTTTCAGACGATGCCACACTTACATCGGTGTTCTTTTAACGACTGACCAACCTATGACTTCTTTAACGTTCAGACTTTATCTAATTGGGACCACAGAATGTTAAAATTATTTCGTTTATTAATGACATACAAATTATAAGTCATATAAAAAAGTAACTATGGGTGTATACTTATTGGAGTTCCTGTAAAGGTGCGTTTCGAAGATTGGGGCTAACGAGAATTGTAGTTGATTGTTTGATTCTTTCTTATAGGGGCTTTGCAAGCATTTGGGCATTTGGATACATTATGGGACGTCTGCTACGCCAACGACCCGGCATGAGTGATCACAATATTAATATCAATGGGTGGATAGTTTTGCAGCAGCTTAACATTCGAGGCAAAGTCGTTTTCTAAAATGGTTTCCCTTTGGATTCTGGAAAGTCAAACAAAGTTAGTCTTGGCTTTCTATGAGTAGCTAGCTAGTTTCCCTTACAATATCATGGAACAGCAGATTTTGATGAGGAACTCAAAGCGCTGCTCGTCCGCAAACACGGAATCCCAAATGCGCAGCACGTCCGGCAGTGGAAACTCCTGCGAGAGGAGCAGAGTGAGCCACCTGAAGCTGTAGTACTGCGGGTGCAGTTCTTGGCTCTTGAGCAGCTCGTATATGTTCAGGTCCTTTGATTTCAGCATATTCGATAGCCTCGCCATCATGAACTTGATGCCGCCCTCGGCATCGTCCAGGGTTTTGATGAAAAAGTCGCGAATCTCGCTCATCAGGGCGGTGAAACAGAAGAAACAGTCTGCCTCGGCGTGAGCGCGATATGATAGATCCGGATCCGAGGCCATAACATAGTAGATGGGCCCCACAATCTCGTTCATGCCCTGGACATATCCCTGGCCGGGATTCAGCTTGGCGTAGATGAACAAAATGCGTTGCACAACCTCCCAGTGGGCCTCCTGGCCCTCCTCCATGGCGGCATAGTTCTCCACGGAGCGTTTGGTAATCAGATTTATCTGCGAAAGGCATGGAGCTAGTAAGATTTAGGGCATCTTGAAGTTAGTTCACTTACTTGCTGCTAAAATCCGCATGGCATGCATAAAATAACACATTCTGAGCTTATTAACTAGCACAAATCCGGTGCGAAACTCACCTTGGTCATGCCCAGGCCCTTGCGCTCCACATTCGCCGAGCTGAGCACGGTGGGCACCACCCGTTCGTGCAGCCTGCGTCCGTGCTCTCCCTTGCTGTGGACCACTATTTCGCAGGGATACTCCGTGGGCTGCTGGAAGAAGGATATGTCCGGGCACAGGCGTCGCACATCCTTGTCGATCTGCAGCAGGAACTCGTTGTCGTTGAAGAAGGTGTTCCAGCGGCTCTCGGGTCCCTCGCTCAGCGGATGATCTTGCAGGCCAACGCCCCTCGAGTCGGCTTTGTCCCCGTCTCCTCCGTCAGCTCCGTCTCCATTGATCGAGTGTCCTGGCGGCAGGACCAGCTCCTCGATGAACTGTTTGTACAGGGCTCGTTTCTGGGCTAACGTCGTCGTCCAGCTGCTGCGCCTGGGGCCCAAATAGCCCAACAGAAGCTTCCAGCTGAGGGCTCGAAAACTTTGCACTTCGGGCACACCTGTGGATTGTTAGTATATCAGTTTCTGGCTCTTTAAAGAGGCACTTTATTATATGTTACCATTAAATGCAAGTCGTCGCAGTTGCTTTAGGTCAATCAAATCCTGTGGAGCCGCCAAAACATCCTCAAATTCCTTGACCCTGCGAAGTGGGTGGTGAAAGTCATTGTTTATTAGGCCAGTTTGGATTGATCAAAGAATATAAACTTACCGCGCTTTGAAAATAGACATGTTGTGGCTTATGTGGGCGGGGCTTTGTTGGGCCCATGCAGTACCCTCATGTGAAATTAACCAAGGCTTTATCTTCTTTAAATGCTGGCTGAAACTCGCAGATAAACACAACAAGCAGCAACAACAAAATGATAGTGGTGGTCGTGGATGGTAATTAAATATCGATTATTAGTCACAACAATCGATGTTTGCTACCAAAGCGAACAGCTGAGAGTCTGGCAACGCTGGGTAGCTGGAGTCGGTGACAAATCACTAATCACAGATTAAATTGTTTTCGTGAACGCTTGTAATTATCCATCAGTGATCAGTGATCATGTTGTTTTGCTGAGTGCGTCTTTGATTTCTGTGGTCAAATTTCGATGTAGCCAGACCGTGATTTATCATTTCAAAGCCAATGCTGCCCATTCAGCTTATAAGCGCCATTGCTTGAATTCTAAATTCAAATAGCAAAATTATATGTGTAGTTTTGGTTTCAAGAGCAGTTAATTATATATAATATTTATGATGATTCATAATTCCTTGCTCCGCACTCTTTCACCTGCCTACCGAGTGATTAATATTTGGCTTGCGCTCATTTCCTCTGGCTTTTCGTGTGTTTCTATTTGATTTTTCAATTGCCTAGTAGTGAACACACACACGCAGCCGCGAGCAGACGCGTTCGAATAGTAGAATTTAGCGCACATTTCTGAATGTGCGGAGCATTTCTTTTGTTTACGCTAGTCGCTGGCCAGCAATGACGACCAGCAGATCAGCGGCGTCGTCCGCGTCATACAGGCGACCGGCTTTCTGGAAGGTGCCCGGTTACGAGCTGCCATCATCCTACTACCGCCCACAGCCACAGCCACCATCCAGTCCGCCCCATGTGCCACAGCTGCCACCCCCTTGCCGACGGCGCAGCAGCAGCGGGCTGAAGAAGCGCGTCCGTTTTGCCGACGAACCAAATGTGGGGGTGAGTTCAAGACCCCAGAAACAGAAGGCGAAGAACAACCGCCCCCTTAAATCGCTCGACTTGTCAATCATCGCGCATGTGTGTTTTCGTATTTGTGGCCCCAATTCACACCAGGCCGTCTCAGAAATCAGTTCAATAACATTTCGCCCCTGGCTGCTCGTAAATTTGTCAAGCCAAATCTAATTAATTGGCCACTGCTGCACTTATGGTGGCGACAAAAAAAAAAAAAATAAACATGGCCCAAAAAGATGGATGGAATCAATTTTTCCATTGCCACCAAATTGACGCAATTCGCAATGCAATCGGTTAGGATATTCAAACGATTTAGAGCCCCCTCAAGGCTGATCTGGGGTAAATGTCACTCAGAAACATTACAAAAATTCCCACTGAAAATGAAATGAAAACAATTCAAGCCGCAAATAGTAAAAACATTTCAAGAACCAGCCAAAAAGTGCCGAAAACAGAATGTATAAAATGAAAAATGAAATGGCAAGCCATATATTGTGTATATATCAGCGGAAAGGCGAAAGGCAGGAAAAGATTTTTCCGTTGTAAAAAGTAAAAATGCTGCCAAAAACCGAGAGACAGACGGAATATTCAGCAGCAAATCAACGTCCTTCAACCGTTGACCCATGCACATTGCTTATACGTCACGTTGTACGTAGACTTTTCCATTGACTAATGCAGTAAAAATCTGATATGATTAGTCTGTTTAAATTGGCCAAGAGTGGCGAATTTGTTGCTGTTATGTTAGGATCGCCTCAGTAAATAAATTTAATTACCCTCTCTCTTGGTTGCCTCATCGTTCGGCAAATAAGTCTGGGCAAACAAAAAAAACTAATAAAATAGCTGAAAATGTCGAAAAAAACAGATGCCCAGAATACTTGATTTTTTTTTTTTTAAATCGGGCAGACTCATCAAAACGCTCGTCAGATGATGACATGTGGCATTCATTTCTTCAGGGTCAGCTGGCAAACTGGATCAAGTGCTGCCCTAAAATGTGGCCAACGAAATGCAGAATGCCAGAAATGCAGGGCACAAGCCAAATTAAACAATGAGAGCAATGAGGGGAAAAACTAATGAATTTAAGGTGGTTTTTGCACACTCTTTTGTTTGTTAAAATTGTTATTATAAACCCTGCGTATGCGTAATATCCATTCGTATGCCACATTAAGTATACGGCATGTTATCTTTTGTGAAACTTAATTCTGATTTTTCTCAAACATGCAACAACCTCTCTGAGATATTTAGAGTACTCTTTGCGAAAAACCCCATTTAACGATTAGGATTCGCCAATCGAATTCATGTTTCTCAGCATGTAGTCGCCGTTGCCGGCGGATATAAGTTGTATATATATATGTATGTACGGTGTACATTTGTGGCGCAGTGTACTCGTGGTATACCAAGATTCTGCTGCCGCTGTTGCTGCTGCTGCAAAAAGGAATACAATTCGTATTTTAAAATTAGTACTTGAGCAGCTTTGCGATCGAACAAAACGCTTAACGGACTGCAATTTCGCGCCGCCTGCGCCTCGCAGGCCAGATAAATAATAAACAAATTTGCAATTTGGGTGAACTCCTCTTCCCACACCGTTTGGATGAGCCAGTGATCCGAAATCATTCGATCATCGCCTCAGGATGAGTCCCAAGCTGCATGAGTTCGCGGTGGTTTTGCTGCGCGATGGTCAGGCCACGCCCTGGGGCATCCGCCTGGTGGGCGGCAACGATCTGGATACGCCGCTAATAATTACCAGGGTGGGTAACACGCCTTATGTAACCAGAGATGTGCCGCCACTCTTTTGTCGCCCTGTGGTGGTGGTGGCGGTCGCTTGTGGTCCATTCATTCATCAAAATAATGCACGGCGCAGGCGAAAAGCGATTTGGCCTTTGTGCCCCGCTCCGCTTTCTGTTCTCAGCGCCCAAATAAACAACAACAACAAATCAAAATAGCGAAACGGGCACAGCAACAACAACAATAAAAACGCTCTGCAACGTTGCCAAAACGCGACGCCAGTAAAACTAATTGAGGCGCAACAAAAGCGCCCAAAAAGAATTTTCCCAATTTTCCTGCCCCTGTGCAACGTAAACACTCAGAGTCTGGCGATCATAATTCTGTCTGCATCTATTTAGGCATCCATAAATCTAAGTCAAGGCTGCACTTAGACCCTATACAATGTGTATATTCGAATGACCTTCCTTCCGTTGCAGGTGCAAGTGGGCAGCCCATCGCACGGGGAGCTGCTCCGAGGCGATATCATCGCCAAGATCGGCGAGTACGACGCACGCGACCTGAGTCATGCGGATGCACAGCAGCTGTTCCGCGGTGCTGGCAACGAGATCCGCCTGGTGGTGCACAGGTGAGCCAGGAAATCCGTGTTCCCAAACCAAAAACAAGTGAGATCAAAGATCAGTTCAATGTGTTTCAGGTCGATTACAAATTGCTTACGGTAAAGTATAACTTTTATTTTGATCTTTGGTGACTTATACACCCAAAAAATAAGCTGAAAATTTTGATTTGATAAGTGTGTAAGTATAAAAGTATAAGTACTAATACAATACTAAATAATATAGTCCCTATACTATTTGGTTTCTTTTCTATACCAAACTGTAAGCTTTAGTCTTATTTTCAAAATTTTATTTTGATTCTTTAGTGGTATTTATTTAACTCCCACCCTATTGAGAAATTTTTCATACACAATAGTTTAAAATAGTTTAGACCAAATTCAGAAAGTAAATTTAACTGCAAATAAAACCACAAAATATATGTTTCAACATTTTTTTGTGCCAAATTTAAAACTTTAAAGTTAGAAAAGTTCGAGTTATGTTGGCCTTTGTTAAAGTTTTAGGTACCATATAAAATCCTATTTCATTAGAAAAAGTAATGAACTGACTTTTATTTCATATATTTGAGCTACGTTATTAGACAAGTATTAATTTCTAAAATTCCAGGGACAACAAAATCGCATACACGCAGGGAGCCACTCAAGAGGCAGGATCTGGACCACGGAGCAACTCCACTTTGCCGCCGGCTAGTCCGGAACTCTTGCCCCACCGTGGTCCATCCCCCTTTTTGCCTGGACCCAGTCACTTTGAGAGGGCTTTGCACATGCCAATGGACACTCTGCCGCAGACTGTGTTTCCCCAGCTGAACCCCTCTGGCGGATATGAAGTGCCATCCACTGTGTTCTCTCCAAAACCAACACGGGATCATCAACAGGATGTCGACGAGGAGCAGGCTGCCATTGTGAACCAGGTGAGTGGATTCAAAAACAACTTAATATTTAATAGGAAATCGTGTACTTAATAAGAAGTTACATTAATTACATTTATTCGTTGACATTGTTAAGTGAATTGTGATAGTGATACATTTAAAAATTACTTATTCAAAAAAAAAACATATTTTTAAACCCTTTAAAACAAAAAGTGTACTTTAAATCTTAAATTTATATACAAAGTTTTAAAACACTAGATTAAATTTAGAGAATATTATTTTTCAAACGATTTCAACATTTAAATCTTGAAAAAAAAAATAATTTACGGATTGCTTAACCTTTTTACTTAAATTATTTAGTTTTTTATAATTTTTTAAAAGCAGATTTCAAAAATAAAATTAAAATGTAACTATACATTGAGCAATCATTTGAATGTTGCATACTTTTAGGCAAGCGAAAACGTAAAATTTGTGTAAAATGAATGTGAAAATAAAATTTATTCAGTTCTAACAAAATTTTGAAAAAAGGACACTAAAACAAAAACTTTTGCTTGTCAATTTCATTGTCAGTGTATGTTGCTACTGAAAATGTGCATGTAAAACAAATCGAGAAGTGTAGAAAACTCGTATTTTTTTGTAATTTAAACATATTGAAACGCTGACATCAGCAGATAGCAATGCTGGTGGTCAAGGTTCCGCCGTTTACATCCGCTAAATATAGCCCATAGATCGAGAACGGGAGGGGGGCGCTTAACAGGAAAAGGCCCAGTGACGCAGTGCGCAGGTGGAAATTGGCGAGAAATCAAACAAAAACAAATACAAGTCAGAAGATGTAACAGAGAAGAGCCCGCCCCCAAAAAAAAACTCTGCGGAAAATGCCAAGAGGCAAAGACGCAAATAAACAAGAAAACATTTCGAAGCTATTTTGGGCAGGTGAGCGAGGGTGCAAGGAGAATATTTTGATCCACTGTCCATCCCACCTTGTGATGCGGTGGCAATGCCAATGAAAGCACCACCCCCCTCCAAAAGTCCCATTCCCATTCTCATTCCCATTACCCCAAGATGACGCCGCTAATGAATCAAGACACTTGCCAAGGTCGCAACTTTGTGTTTGCCAGTGCGGCACCGAAATAAAAATCAAGGTGCCTCTACCTATACGTTTTTAATGTTTGACGATTTGTCATACAGAAGTGTGAAAAAGGTGGTGTTGAGAAAAAGTTCCAGATCTGGTGACTTCTGATGACTGAAAGTTGGTCTATTCTTGGGATTATCTTCCCAGGGGTTATTGTACCTTTATTCAGCTAATTTATGGTTAATATGTACCTTGAATGCGTTCTATTTGTTTTCTTAATTTCACTTTGTTAGAGGCACAAAATGCTACAAAAAACCATCAAGCGGATTGTTTATTGATCGTTTTCTTTTAAACATACGTGGGTACACAAAGAAAAACAAAAGAGAATAATTTCAAGTGGGAAAAACAATAAGTAATTGAAGTACTTACTTTACTAATAAATATTATTTTTTAATTCTATCGAATAGTTTAGTATAAAATATACAAACTTTTTTGATCTTGCTTTTTTAAGTGATTTCTTGATAAGTTTCAGTTGATTTGGTAAAATTATTTTATTTACTAATCAAATTGTTTTCTTAATACCGTAGTCTCAATGACCCGAAATTATTTGTGGCAGATGGCAGCTATAAAAGTTTGTCTTAAAAATTGTTATACTTTCTCCAACTGTAATTGAGTTCCCAGAAAACTAGTTCCTACAGTCGAATGAACTGCAACCTTCGCATTGGGAAAAACAACATTCCGTGTAAGTTATGCGTTCCTTGGATCTTCCATCTAACTTGAAATGTTTCCAACAGACTTTCAAGGCTAATTACACCTGCTCGTGTGTTTTTCGGCCTGTCAAGTGATAAACATCAAATGATTTGCCCAATGCCCAGTTCCAATGTCAATTGCTTATAACAGGCAGAGAAAATACAGAATGCCAATGCCAATAATGATGGGCTGAGACTTTGGAACTGTCCGAATCGGTTGACAAATTTGCGAACCATCGTCAATTGCTAGTGATCAGTGTCAGTGCAAATCAGCGAAAACAAACTGAGCAAATCAATAACTTAGCTGCGAATCTGCAAGATATTTCTAATTTTGCATTCGGGCAAAACAATAACCTCGGACCCGATAAATATTTATGCCTTATATTTGAAATGAGAAAAAAATGGTATGTGAAATTGCTCCACAAAAGCAGCAATTAAAACATATACGCGAGATATTTTTTTTATATGTGAATAATTTTCGACTGGGGCGGCAGGACAAACAACAACATCCGCTGGGGGCAGGGGGAAAAGGAGCGTGGGCGGGAAGAAAAAATTAAAGAAGATAAATATATATCACACCAAGTCCAAGTTTATACGCTGTGTTATTGTTGTTGCCCGAGTTTGCGCTCGGTGAACAAGCTATTTGCACAAAAACATATTTTGTGTATTTCAAAGATCTCAGCTCTCTCTCCGAAATATATAAGATTTGGGAGGGGATGGGATGGAAGTGGGTTGGTGTGGGTGCGTGGGTCGAACGGCCTCTGACCGTCAGCACTCACTTTTTCTATGTGGATATGGCTATGGCTCACACAGACAGACACAGACAGACGGACACTCTCCAACCAATACCGTGGCGGCTATATAGACAAATTGGAATTCCGCGCAGTCGGAATAGCAATAATTCGCCAGCATTTGAAAATTTTCAAATCAGTTGCGTTCGGAATATTGAAAAATAAACAACAATATAAGACTCGAACTCGAGCATCCTTTTTGTAGTGAATCCTAGTGAAACGATCTACGATCTCACCAGCTGCAGCGTTGATTTAAACGTGCCGAAAAAGCAAGTTACCAATCAAATAACCCCTACTAGCCACGATAACCAAAAAAAATAATTTCAAAAATCAATTATCGAAACTGACGTGATCTTCCATTACGTAATTGTCCCTGGCTATAATATTTTTCGTTTCTATTTTGTTCGAATTCTGCCCTGCGAAGGAGTTTAAATTAAAACCCAAACACACACACATTACAAAAATGGAGTACGTTCAGTTCAAAAACGGATCCCCAGTCTACTACAAGGAACAGCCAGACCTCAATGAATGCATTCAATATCAAGTAAGCAAGAAAGTGAACCACTAACTCAACTTTAAAACTGAATAAATAAATAAAAACGTTATAAACAACACAAGATTCTGGAAATAACCTTAAAAATATAAAACAAAAAGTGTGGTATTTATGGAAAATATTTTTAAAAATTTAAAGAATATATTTTCGAGTTAAATTTAAATCTGGATGAGCAAACAAGATTTTTCCGCCGTATTTGTGATATAAAAGCGATCCTATGTCATACTGTGATTTAATTAATTTTCCACCCACTTATGTATAAACAAAGATTTCTAAACAGGTTATAAATGCCTGACAATCGTCGAAAATCCAGATGAAACATTTCACCTTTACCGTCAAACATTTGCTCTTGGAATTCAAGTTCAAATACAAATGCCAAAACCAAGCGACGTGTATATTTTTCGAGGTTTATGTCTTACTTTTCCCTCAGAAATATATGATTGAGAACGAAGAATATAGAATGTAGAACGGCATATAGCACAGCTATAGGTATATTCATGCATATATCTGACTGGCTGATGGCGGTTCTCTGCGCCTCTCTGCATATAGCTTATTATTCAAACATTTGTTCGCCTTTCGTCAATACGCGCCGAAAGGCAGGCAGAGTTTTTGAAACATATTTTTCATTGCGCTCTTGCCTGTGTGCTCAATGTAATTCATACCACCCAAACGGGGGGATATTTTTAGAGCCAGAGAGCGCAGGAAAAACAACAATAAGCCAGCAAATAAATAAACAAAATGATTATAAAAGAAATTAATTTTATGTCGAGATGGCCACAATCCCACACTGGTGTTAATTTGACTCGAACGATCTGAAAACCCCTCGAAAAAACAATAGCAGACTTTCCCTACTATTTTCACAATTTTTGGCACGAATCAAGAGATTCAAAACTTGTGGCGCAGCGAAAGTGGAAATTGTTTTCACTTTTGCGTTTTGTATATTGCAGAACTATTTTATTCTTATTTTCTTAGGGCTAACAGGAAACGAATTGTCTACATAGTATTGGTCAACGGATCGGATTAGAAATAGATGATGGGCGCAACATTTACTTAAATTTATTACACACACAAAGTCCCAAAGACTCGATTCGATTAATAGTCAAGCAAAATGTCGAAAGTGACCCTCAAATGATATTTCAAAATATTTCAGTGCTTGCGCCAGCCACGAATTTTAAAATTAGCGTCAAAAAGTGTTCTTATACATATACGTGTTCGTCCCCAAGGTGAATGAAAATGAGAGAGATGCGCAATTAGCCAGCGGATTGTCTGTGTCTGCCACACTAATTTCCCAGAGGTAATCATCCAGATCGTCACTTGCCCAGGCAGGCGGTGTCGCTGAGAATCGAGGCGATCAGCTGCTTGTCGCTGAGGGCCGCGTGCACCTCCTCCTCGTCCCACTGCAGCAGGACCTTGTGCAGGCGCGGCTCCTTCTTGCGCATGATGCGCAGGATGCCCCGCGTCTCCACCAAATCCACGGTTCCGATGAACTCCGTCTGGTCCAGGGCCAGGATGTTGCGTTTGGCGCACACGCGCCTGTACACCTCGTGCAGGCGACCCATGCTGATGTCCTTGTTGCGCTCGTTGCGCAGCATCAGCACCAGGGTGCACAGCATCAGCTTTTGCTGCAGCGGGAACGAGGCCTCAATGTCCTCCTCCAGATTCTGCGAGGCTCCGTACACTTTGTTCAGCACAGCAGCCACTTGGGTGACCTGTACGGGCTTCAAAGTGTCTGAAATAACAAAAAAATGATTTCTTATTACATTTTCTTATACAAAGAACGCCAGTCTTCGATTCAGATCAACTATTTCCTTCTATTTGATGACCTTTAAATATATTATAGTAGCTAATTCTGGTTGTTTTATCAATTTGTTCCAAGTAACCCATGATTTATACTACCTTTTTTACAGAAAATGTAATTATTTTTGGTATTTCGTCAGCGAAATAATTGCTATCTGGTCTTTGAGTCTGTTTGATTATTATTGATTCCTTAGTTTTACAAAGTAGTAAGGTACTTACCTTGCTTTTCCTTGGCCTCCACTGCCTCCTTGCCCTCCAGTTGAAGGGCTTTCATGTTGAACTCCTTTTCGCCATCGCGTTTCTGCTGCTCGGCAATCTCGACTACCCGTCGTCCGATGTCCAGCGCCCTGCGCACATCCCCGCTGATCGCACTCACTTTGGCGGCCAGCAGCTGCAGGGTGACGGGCGGAAAGACGTCCAACACCTCCGCCTCGGCCAGACGCGACTTAAAGATCTCCACGATCTGCTGCTTGGAGTAGGGCGGGAAGTGCATCAGTCGGGGCTTCAGTTCGCACCTGGCATTCAGGCGCATCAGCGCCCGATCTGTGAGATCCAAGCTATTGGCAATGCCAACTAGAAGAATTCTTGAGCTGGGCAGAGCGGGCCACTCGAAGATAGTGTACAGCACCTCCTGCCTGCTGGTGCACAGCTGGTCGATCTCGTCCAGCACTAGCAGAAGCATTCGCTTGGCCGTCCTCAGATGCCGCTGTATGGCCTCCAAGTGATCTCTTTCAGTGCGACCATTGACTTTCAGCTGGAGTTCAGCACATAGCTTCTTGTAGACAGCTCCCACGCTGGCTATGCTGGTGCAGTTGATGTACACGCGTTGCAGGCGCTTGGAGAAGTCCGCATCTCGTAGTAGTAGCGATAGGCAGGCGGTCTTCCCTGTGCCCGGCTGTCCGGAGACATAGAGGCTGCCCGAGGTCTGACTTTCCAGGTGGCTGCTGAAGAATTCACGCAGCTCTTGCAGTTGGGCCTCACGTCCTGGCAGGTTTTGGGTCTCGGCGCTATTGAGCACTCGTCTGGCGTTCTGGTATTTGTTGCGGGAAGGCGAGGGTAGGTTATCCTGGTGGGGTTCCTCTTTGGTTGGGGGCTTCTCTTGCTGCTGCTTGATTGGAGGTTTCTCTTGCTGTTTGATTGGAGGTTTCTCCAGCTCCTTTGGTTTTTCTTTGTTAAAATGTTTCTCCTGCTGCTTGACTAGAGTTTTAGTCTGCTGCTGGGCAAGAGGAACGTCTTGCTGGAGCTTATCTTGCTTGGCCAGAGGCTTCTCCAGCTCCGTGCCAGTCTGGTTTTGCGCCTCCTCCTGGCGTTCGTCAATGCTGAGCCTGTCCAGCAGCCGCGAAGGACTGATCAGATGCTGCGGCAGTGGCTGCAACTTGCGCTGCTTGGGTGGTGAGCCATGGAGCAGGTCCGCCTCCTGCTCCTCCTCGCTGTCGTCCAAGAAGATCGTGATGGCCTCTTGGTTCTGCTCCGCTCGTTTGGCCCGTGAAATAGCAACTGATTGGGCTGTTTGGGCTGATTTCTTGCTGCTGCGTGGCGTCTTTGGGTGCTCCAGTGGGGCGGCCTGCACCAGCACCTGCGAGGTCCTGCGGCGCGAGGTCTTGTCCATTTTGTTGAGCAGATTGCGGTTCTCGTTGTTCTCTGAAACGGGGCGGGTCAGGTCATAGGTCACCTCCTCGTCGTCGCTGTCGGCAAGTACTTTTTTCGGCTGCCTGCGTTTCCAAACTTCCGAGCGACGCGGCGTCTGCGTCGACTGCGGCAGCGGAGAGGCGGCCGCCGCCTTGCTGATGCTACTCAATCGCGTGGAGCGACGTACGGCAGCCATTTAAGCGTTTGTTTTGCAAATCAGCAGTTAGTTACTACTTAATATTAGTTAATTATTACAATTTTCTGTCACAGTTAAAAAAGCGCGCAAAACCCGTTTGCCATTCACCCCGAGCAACAGCTGTTTGAGCCCTGTTCAGCAGGGTGGCAGCCCTGGCCCACGGCTGCTTACTGCCTATCGTCTATCGATAAGGCGCGCTTAGTTACAACATTTAAACCACAGCCACCCGCCTCCTATATTAAATTACTTACACACTCGCTCGAAGACTGCCTGGTAAAAATAAAAACTTTTCGCAGCAGATACAAATTCTAAAACGCTGGACGTTGAACACGCTTACGTAAGCGCCTAAAAATATTTGCTATGGCTGTGGGATATTTTTAAAGTATATAAACGGGCGAACATAAAATGGAATTTTGCTATATAAAAATTATGCACGCACACACGCTCAACCAGCGAGCACCTAGCACAGTGGGCGAAGATCTGAGGATTTCTAGAATCGAAACAAAACTCTGGTAATCGTTCGCTGATTTATTTATATTATCATTTGCCACAACGGCTGCCAAATGTGTGTGTGGCCAACCCATTTAGGCGTAAACAAAGTCGTTAATCTTGACTGATCACGTGTGGTGTGCTTCCGATCCGTTTTCCAGCCCTACCGGACAACTCCGCTGGTCCTGCCCGGCGCCAAAGTGAAGAAGGATGCGCCCACGACAGAGTCCTACTTGAGGCACTATCCCAACCCGGCTGTGCGCGCCCACCCAGGACACGACTACCATGACAGTATCATGAAGCAGCGCGTGGCCGACACCATGCTGCACAAGGTGGTCGGTTCGGAGGCCGACACTGGCCGCGTAAGTACACGGGGAAGTCCCTTAAGATATGCAAACTAAAATATAATTTGTGGAAATAGCGAAAATACGGGAAATTCTACATTTTATATGGGGATTTTCAGTAGCATTATTTTGATCTTGTATTTGTGTGATGTTCAATCATTTCCCATTTATAAAATATTTGTTTGTTTAGATTAAATATAAATATTTCATCGTTTTATTACGAAGATTTAAAGGTATACATGTATGGAAATTACAAAATATTCATCTAATTTTGTCAGTTTTGATCAACGTTCTTTCCTAACAACTTTAAAATCCGATTTAGACACTATAATACTATATAAATAAATATATTAATTGGTGATACAAATTGAATAACATTTTATTTTGAATTAATTATAAGAAGTCATCTTCAATAATCGTTATAGCTAAAATTGGTTGTCAAATGTAAACTTTTTAAAATAATTTTTGTAGTTTTGGAAAGGATCTTAAAATTTCCATTTTTGTTTATTGAAAAGGATCATTAAAAGTATGAAAAATTATGATAAGTAAATTTACTTGTAAGAATCCGGCACTTTATTTATTAAACCAACTATTTTGTACATGAAATTTAACCAATTGCTTGTCTTCCGATCGCAGGTCTTCCACAAGCAATTCAACTCGCCCATCGGCCTATACTCCAACAACAACATCGAGGACACCATCAGATCAACAGTTCCGTAAGTTGTCACCCAGAAATTTACCATCTGGAAACTCTTATGCTTAGCTCGATACAATGAAAAACGACTAATATCTGAATTTTGAAAAACGCTTGTCAAATTGAACATTTAAGCCTATTATTTACGCTTTTTTTCTTTGGATTTTGCTATATTTGAATAAATCTGCGTAGAACTCTTCGAAAGTTTTGATGTAGCTTTTCTTTTTGCCAGAGAGAGAGAGAGCTACACGAAATGCGCCTAGTAGCTTGAAACTAATAAGCGAGTCACGAACACGGTTACGAGTAGCAGTAGCCTAAGGTCCACATAACCCGAAATTGGTTCCTGGTTAAGCTGCGGCCATAATCCACTAACCCAAAAAGCCACAAAATCAAAGTCGAAACGAAATTTACTAAACCGAAGCACACACGAAACGAGAAACACATTCGAACACACAATCAAACAAACGAATAAATAAACCAGTCCATAGATGTTGTACGTACTACTGCCTACTGCCGGATCTCTGCTATACATATATATATGACTCTCTCTATATATAAATATATATTCTATGTGTATTGTTGTAGCTTCGCCACGAGCGAAAGCAATCGCTTGAGGGACAGTCCTCTGCATCGTCCTTTGCCAACGAAGCTTAACGGGTAAAAGTAAATTCATATCTTGAGCACAGCCTGATTTCGTTCGTTGATTGAATCCTTCTCACTTTGATATGGAAAGCACACGAGCAAGAACTTGAGATTGAACCTGAACTTGCCTTGAGACAAATTGAATATGATTCCCATGTTTTCCCCGCCTGTCTGTACAGATTAACCCTCGATTATTGTTGTCTCCCGCAACCACAACAACTTTATTATATATAGTCTCTTAAACCCAGATGCAATATCTATGTCAGAACAACAGAAACAACACGACACAAGTCCAAGTCCCGATTGCATGTGCTCTGCTGTCTATATATATATATATGTTTCCTAAACTTTCCTCTACTTCTTCCTGTTGCAAAGAAAAGCTCCCATGACTCGAGTCTGTGATATGGAAAACCTTACTGTGTAAATATGTGTACTTCGGGAAACTATTTTCACCGAAACCCCCAACGAACTTTGTTTGTCTTGAGGCTTTCTTGTTTGGTCTAAAATAATCTGAAAGGTATGGCAAAAGTGGCTCAGGAACATCGGGAAGGGGTTTCTTTGGTAGGTCAGGTGCTGTATCTATAGTCAATAGTTTAACCCAATCCAGACTATACCACTCTAGCTCTTAGACCCATATATATTTAGAACTTAGCTGCACGATTAATGTTAGAATTTTCATCGATCTATCTTTCCTGGAACGAAAACGTGTAATTCTGGAGCAACAAAAGCAAAAAGACCAACTTGCAGAGCAACAACGTCAACAGCGCCAGCAGCAACTGCAACTACTGTATCAACAAAACAAATGATCAAAGAAATAGTAGCCAAAAACTCCTCCCAATTCTACTAGACAAAGAGCCAACCTCCCCTCTTCCAAGACCCCTGCTGAAAGTCCCTTACCTTCCTTTTTTTGCCCGCCAAAACCCAAAAGACTAATCCAAAACTAAAAGACGTTTGCTGAATTATATTTACGAAATGTTTGAAAGACAGCATTGAAAGTTCCTATTCATGAGAATACCCCGCAACCCATCCAGTATTAACCATGCAAAACTAACTAACCACCTTAAACCCAACCGATCTCCAGGCTTCAACTCATCAAATAATATTATAAAGAGCATAATCTCGCACCTTGTTATGCAGTTCTGTTTGATTACTCTTAATAATTAGCTCGTAAGGAATTTGTTAATGAGTTTCCTATTAATCGCAATCCGTTTGAGGAGTGTGCTGTGCAGTTTCAAGACAACGAAGCACACACACACTATTGCCCACCAACAACAGCAACAACAAACTACAATTACAACAAAACAAAATAATTCTAACGTATTTTGTGCACATCCTGTTTTCTCTTTCTATTCTCTCACTACTCTGTCTCACGCTACTCAACCGATGTAAAAAAATCAAAAAAACAAAAAAAAAAACCAAAAAACAAACCAATATATTTTTTATGAATCTTAATTAACCAACAACAATAAAACGATTTAAAAATACAACTTTTAAAAACTTGCATAACAAAAAAACCAACGAATAATTGACCAAAATAACGGCGCTTTCAACGATCTCAATGCAAACCCCCGAATCTGAATTACGAATCAATGACCACTGCCATCGAGCAGCTATAAGAAAACTGTCCAGTACGATCCCAGGAACAGCGATACCTACAGAGCCATTCAAGAAGAGGGCGGCTACAGCAACTACGGCAATGCCGCGCCACAGGAAGTAACCATACCTGTGCAGACTAGGGTCTATCAGCCCAATAGATTGGTTCCAGGAAAGGTAAGATCGTGCGCCAAACGTTCGAAAAAAAAAAAAACAAATCAAGCAAATCTCTCAATCAAACCGAATCAACCCGACCTCAGTCGAAACTCTATGTGAAGGCATCCGACAATATCGCTCGATTCTCAAGCTCATCCTGTACAAAGTCTATCTATCTATCTTTCTCTCTCTGTTATCTGTTCGTATATCGCTGTCTCTCTTTCTGTGTCAATGTCAATGTTGGTCAACAGAGTGTCCTGCGTGTCCCTATGTTAACGCGTTGTAACGACGACTAACGGGTCCGAAAGTAGTGTTACTAACCTGGTTTTTTGGTCGATCATCGGCTGGCATCGAACTACACTAAACATCCATTAACCCCATCTCTGTGTATATTTTCCAAATCACAAGCACACACATATTTTTTGGCATTCTAACATAGACTAACATCTAACAAAAGCTCATAACAGTTAGAGATTGCATTTGTGAACAAAATTGCTGGAATTAGCCAGATTTATTAAGCAAGATCTTATCTCTTCACTGCATCCAAATGCTCTTACAGAAACCAGTATCAGCGCCAGTATCCCGGCCGCCGTACAATGTGAGTAGCTCCATACGACCACTGTTAACTGAATGTTAATGATATATTTTTAATCCTTAGGTGGTAAACACCCATGATGAGAACATACGCCAGAGCGGCTCCTTCAATCGTCTCATGTACAGCGTTATTGGTGCCACCGAATACTAAATAAATACTGCAGCAGCAACACCAGCGACAGCAGCAACATCAACACCAGCAACAGCAACATCAGCAACAGCAGCAACAACAGCAACATCAGCTGCAGTTGCTGCCGGCACCGACAGTTGTTTATCTCCTAACATATTTAGCGGATTTTTATGAAATTCTGTTTAACTTACTCAATAATTTGTATGAAGAACGACAGGAAATTGTGAACCACTAACAAGCTTAATGATAAATTGGTTTGGTAAACGATTGGAATCGAAATAAATTTATGATATATCTAAAATTTAAACACAAATTAACTCCGCCTCAACCTATTTACTGTCTCCATATGCAATAGAAAGTCCATATAAAATTAAATAAAAAAGAAAAGTAAACTAAATTAGCGGAACCTTTGATTTATAGTTATGTTTATGTTATGCTGATTCTAAGTTAACAACCGTCAGGTGTGTTAATGTCGAGTGATTCTAGTCATGGAATGTAATAGGTATAAAGAATGTTTTAATTAATAAAAGTGAATTTGATTGGATAAAGTTCCTTAATTGTTTCATTAACTAGTCATATTTTAAGTGTGATATAATTTGCATTAAACATTTCAACATTTCAACGGCAGCGTAATTGTATCACAATGATTTGAATATGAGGAGCTCTTTTGTCTGTCTACCTTCTTTAAGACATAAGTAGTGCCCAGCCCAAACCAGACCCAAAACAACCCAAGCCAACCCAAGGAGTAGCCGAAAATCTTTGCATAACATGACGCTGCAAATCTGCACTTATTCCATCAATCATTCCGGCAATTAAACGTATTTATATTGAAACTATATGCACACATGAGCCGAGAAATGAGTGTACCCACAAATTTGACTTTAATTTGAATGGAAATAAGTCACTCGAGAGTGTACGTGTGTAATGTGCATAACAATTGTCGGCCACACACATAATGTACTTTCACTTCACGGCTAAGTAAGCCACAAATGTGTGGTTCATTTTTCTTTTTCTCATGTTTCTTGTTTTATTTCGAGCTGTTACAATGTCAGTGCGATCCCATTAAACGGTCAGCCTGAGCTCAGCCCCATTCGATTGCGAGCTCCCCCGAAACGACCTTGTCGACTACGAACCGATGCAATTCAGGGCGTACGACAACTGTAACATCAACAATAGTTAATGCTCTGTGGCAATTGTAATCAAATATCAAATTCAGAGTAGGACTTATGGGGGTTTAATGACACGATCACATGATCGTTCGCATGCAAAGGGCTTAGAGTGCAGAAAAAGATTTGGCAATCGGCGACATCGAAGATCGTTTGAACCCATTCAACCGCAACGCAAGGCAAACGCAACGCCAGCTACAGATTCAGATACATCTATATACAGATAGATACTATAGATAGATAGAAAAAAACGTTTACCTCTATTTGGGTCAGTAACAATGGAGGCGAGGCGGCTCTGCACTTGTTGGGTTCGATTCGAATTTTGACTCGGGTGTGGCTCCTCCAATCGCATTGACCTCTTCTTCGAGCCAAGCGATTAATTGGGCATGATTATCTAATGGGAAGCCATCAAGACAATTGCATGGAATATCAGTTGAAGCTGGCACGATGGAGGAGTCGACCGCAATGTAATTTACATTTGCATTGCGTTGCATGCCTGCAAAATGTGTTGCAATACCGCAGAAGTGTGCGGGGGGTGCTGCAGATGACAAATTCGGGAAAGTTTTCAAAAGCCCCCCCATCCCCCCTCGTTGGGTACTAATCAGCTACCTCTGCTAGCCAAGTTAACAGCTGTTGGCCGAGATCACGTAGGGTTACAAAAAAAGCCGAAAAAAAAAGCCTTTAACAATGGTCCAGGTCGAGGGTAGAGGAACTATGCTTTCAACGGAAGTGACAACCGAGTTGGGGATGGGAGATGGGGATTGGGGGGTTGGGAGGTTGGCCACCCAAAAACAGCTGTTGTAAATCAGCCAAGAGAGCCACATTATGGCCAAGAGAGTGAGAGAGCAGAGTCGACTGTTTGCCGCTCGACGTTTGTCGATATAAAAGTGCAATTTGGGTCCGCAGGCAGCGCAGATACGTTTGTGGCTCCGCCGAGGTTTCAGTTAGAGTTTGAATTTGAATTTGAATTGAAATTTACACTTGAGTGTCCGTGTTCCGTCGGTTGAGAGTGAAACATAAGCTAGTAACATGCAACTCCTGCTTGTGGTGGCCACTTTGGCCCTTTGCGGCCTTGTCAGCGGACAGCAGGGCGTGGACCCCGCCTACTTGAGGCAGTACTACCAACAACTGCAGCACCAGCAGCAACAGCAAGCCCAGCCCCAAGAGGGCACGCCCATTTACGAGCAGAATTCGGAGCAGACGCAGCAGTATGTGAACTCTGGCCAGCAAATCAGGATCAAGGATACGGTGGCCGAGCAAATTCGTGCCCAGCAGCAGCAGGGATATGTGGCACCGGCTGTGCGGGACTATCAGGTGGGTTTTCCCATTCCATATTTTTAATTTTAATTTATATCTTATTGGGTCTTTAACTATTTACTAGCAATACCAGGCGCAGCCGCAGCAGTCTGCCTACCGTCCAGCACCTCAGGCTGCCCCTCAGCCACCGCGCAGGGTTCAACAGCAATCCTACCCAGCACCATCCACTTCGATCCTCGGCAAAGGACAGCAAAAGCTGTCGCTGCAGCAGCAACAAGAGGAGGAGGAATACGATGATGTAAGTCTCGAACACACAAAAAAATACCATGTTTTTGGGGGAGATATATTGCATTGCAATGCATTAGATATTATAACAAGATTTTTTTTGGCTTGGATTGTTTTTATGTGTTTTTGTCTATACTGTGATTTATTGATGAGAAAATGTTGTTTAAATATCTTTAAATGAAAAAAAACACAGTCCAATAGAAAAACCTTATAATAGTAATGGGTATTTGAAGGTTATACATAAATATCAAATTCAAAATGATACTCTTTTTGCGGTGCAGATCTACAGTTCGAATTCGCATTCAAGTGGGACTTTCGCGCACTTTCCTTTTCGCTTCACTGCAGCAGCAGCAGCAACAGCAACTGCAACAGCAACTGCAACATATACACTAGCTACATATACAACAGCAACATAATTACAACTGAAGCATGCAATGGCATTGGGGGTTGGATCGGGGGAGGGAAATGTGACTTGGGGTTCATTAACCACGCTCGGCAACAGTGTGGATTTGGCCATGGCCATATGTGTGTGTTGCATTGTGCATGTTCATTGGCCCGAGTTCGCTCCTGGTCCGGTCCGCTTAGCCACTTAGCAGCCATAGGCGATTGTTTTATGGCCTTTGCATGCGGAAGCTGGCGAATATCCGTTGCCAAAGTGAGCATAATCCATCAGCCTTAATGCTGCATCAAGCTAACGAGGTGGGGTTAAGGTGCTCAGATGGCATGTCACCTTTTTAAGCACTTAAAATTAATGGCAGATAAGTCTTGAAAATATTAGTGGATTAATTATAATGGGTAAAAGTTTAAAGACATAATATTAAGATTTATGTATTCATATACATATTTGTAGTTCAAATGCGGTTCTATTAATTTCACTTCCATTTAGAGCCATAGAGTATGAGCCCCATAAAATCTGCATAGCCACTGAGGGGCTATTTACAAGTTCAACCTGAAGTGGCCACTCGATATTGCAGTTTTTATGGCTCGCTGCTGTTTTATGCCTTAAATATGACACTGCCGCTGGCAACTACATTCTCCGCCAGACAATCACTTTCAAAGGCGACCCATATACCCCAATTCCGATCCGCTCCCCTGTCCCAAAGACCTGCAACTCGGTGCCCAAGTCCCATTCCCACAGTGCACGCATTAGAACCGGCTTGCCAACTGGCTTTGCCTTTCCATTTTTCGGCCTGCAGTTCTTTGGCTATTTTATTTTCTGTTTTGGGCCACGTCAGGCCCAAAGGCTTCTGAACATAATCGAGGAATCGATCGGTGGCCACGCCTTCGAGCCACGATCTTCGGGTTACCTTAACCCAGTTGCCATTAATCTGCGATGGCAACGACTTGACCAACTGAAGGTCTTGCTGCCGTTACATCCTCACAGAAACAAAACAAAAAAAACCAAAAAATAACAGAGGGGGAAATCGCCAACCTTGTGCATAAATTATACAAAGCCTCGAAGTTTTATGGGTGGTGCTTCCACCGCCTGGTCGTCGTTATATAAGCCGCAGTCATCGGATCGATCCGCTGATCCGCTGCAACGGCACTTTGATTCCGTGCGCCCGGACCATTAAAATATGCAAGCGGCTCCAAATTACTTTCACTTGTGCGTGATCTGGGACTTTGAGTTACTTTGAGTTACTTGGAGTTACTCGGAGTTACAGCCTACGCGCATGCGCCTGCGGCTTCTGACGTAACCACCGTCTGGACACGTTTTTTGGGCCAGCCAGCCACGAAAGTGGGTCAGCACCATGTTGCAGTACGCATTTGAAGTCCCAATCGAACCCCACCCCACCCCGCAACGTGCTCAATGTGATCTTATTTTAATAAAAAAAGTAATTGCAATACGATAAAATCAATATTATACCATAACAAATTTAAGTACATTTTAGATTGCCAATTATGCCTTTCAAGATTTAAGAGGAAGTAGATGAAATATCGTTGGTATAGTTGTGGAGTTTCTAGAAACGATTTTAGTTTATCTTTAAATACCGTATTTATTAGAAATATTACGATTATACATAAAGCGAAATTTAATTGCTTAAGTCATTTAATGTCAGGTTTGTTTATAATATTTCTATAACATAATATATATGAATGGAGCTTAATTTCATTATGACAATGGATATTATCTCATAAAAAATAATTTCTAGAAAAAATTAAATAAAGAATTTCTCAGATTATCTTTACAAAACTGTATTTAAGTTTACGTTTATATACTTTAAAACTTTAAAAATAAAGCTTATTAAAAAACAATATATTTTTTAGATAAAAATGTTATTTTTGTTTATCATCTTTTAAATATCGCCAGAGAAGTTAATATTTTATCTTACTCGAGTAAATTACATTTAAATAAGATGGTTTTTTTTTAAGAATACGTTAGTAAATTTTAAATGTTATGTCTTTCAGCAAAACTCCTCGTACCAGTTTGGATTCGATGTGAAAGACGACGAGTTCACCAACTACCAGAATCGCAAGGAGATCCGCGATGGTTCGGTGATTAAGGGCAGCTACTCGGTGGTGGACTCCGATGGTTTTATCCGCACCGTCAAGTACACCGCCGATCCCAAGGAGGGCTTCAAGGCCGAGGTCATCCGCGAGCCCACCGACATCGTGGTGAAGATCCCCACTCCCCCGCCACCGACGCAGTTGCTCCGCGCTGGAGGCCACAAGGCCCAGCAGGAGTACAGCTCCGGACCCAGCAAGCAGCAGTATCAGCACCAGCAACATCAGCAGCACCAGCAGCAGCCGCAGTACCACCAGTACCAGTAGGCAGTTGGAGTCGGAGTCGGAGTCGGAGTCGATCGGACCAGATCGGAGACTCTTTTCGAAAAGCTCTTGAAAGTTCCGCAAGTCCATGTAGTTTGTAAATATGCCGAGACTCGATTGGCACGAGATTATAACATTATTCTATTTTATGTCATTCATTTAGGTTCGACTTTCTTGTTTAGAATATTAAATTAAAAATTTCGAAATACATTACATGCGTTTTTCTTTTGTTTATCGTTTTTCTGAATACAACTATATTTAAATGCAATAGTTATAATTATATAACAATAATAATAGAGCAATAACTTGAGGGTGCATTTAATTTTAAATATACAGTATAAATTTAATTGCGATAGCAAGCAAGAAAACATTTTTAGGCGATTTGCACTTTGTAGATTTATTTTGTTTTTTAAAAAAAACAAAATTTTTAATCTCAACAAAAATTAAAATTTCTAACAAAACAATGTATAACCCTTATCAAAAATGCGAAATTGAAGGAAAAAATGTTTTTTTTTGTTTAAACAGTCGGTGAGTCAAGAAAATTGAATGCTTTGGGTATTGGTAAAATTAAAGATTTGGTGACCTTAAAATAGCATTCCAAACAGGTGGTTTGTAAATTACGTTTTTTTCTATTACTCAGTTTAATTTCTTAAGTGAATAACTTCCCCCCTACGTATACATATATAATTTCTAAGCTTCCTTCTAATTTAAATATCTTGGGACAATCCATGGCACATCCGAATGTCCAAATTTAGGTCACACCGATGTCTGCCAACTCGAAGGTAAACAAAATTTTATTTGCGTATAAATCAATGTGCTAACCCCGAGCGATTGGCGAAGTTCATAAAGGACTCAAGACCAAGATCCCAGTGACACCCAAGGAACATCTGAGGACAACCCGTTCGGGCAGTTGCTGACAAAGGCCATCTAATGGCAGTTCCCACCGGAGAGGCCGTGGATCGTGGTCACCGAAGACACGGCTTTGGATTCGGACCCGGCCGGACCGGTCAGACCGGTTGTCCTTTTGGGAACCTCGCACTCGCACTCACTCAAAGCAATAGCTAAGGCAATCGCAATCGCATCGCAGTCGCATCCAGTGTCCTTCTGCAGTGTCCTTGCATAAATTAGATGAGCGTGTGAGAACTTTGAGCAGCAGAATACCCCTTGCCCTGATGACCTTATCGCCTAAGAAGAAGACCTTCGATTAGGAACCGGTTCTGGACAATCTCGAGGTGAGTTGACTATGACGACTATGACTGACAGCCAGCGCCGATAGCTTCGCTAATGACCCGCATAGCAAAGTACCCTTGCAACCCATTTACATATGCCCCGGACTCAATATTGATCTCGGGTCAGGATCCCGAACATGTGCATGGTCATTCGGGCCCAAGATGTAGGCAAACAACAACTGGACATTAGGCCTGTCCGCCGGGCATTTGTGTCATTTGTGTGCGGCCGACTTGGAGATATGCAAATGAGCAGAGTCGAAGGCGAATGCAACCCCCGAGGTCACCGGCGAGGTTACAAGACCCTAAAGCATCTTCAACCCCTTCTGCTTCTTGGCAGATATTTACATTTACATATCCCAGCCCGCATGATGGACTGACTGTCTTGTCCTGTAACACTAAGTAACTGCAGGACATTCGGGTCACTGCAGAGAACCAGTTTCCGGCTAAAGGATGACGATGGCCCGTCGCCAGTTGACCTTTTTAGGTGGCCGCAAAGCTGCTCAACCGGTTGGACAGTCCACTTTTCCGGAGCGGCGTGAGAAAATCTCAATCTCAGATGACCCAAGACAAGATCGAGAAGGCTGCATGCGTATGCAAATCTTTTGCAGTGCTCTTCCCAATTTCACGCCAAATCATTGCCCTTAAATAAATAATACGCCAAAATTATGAAAAGTCACGATTTATGCGAGTTCTTTGATGGGTATGTACAGAGAGTGGGGGAAGGGGTTGGCAGGGGAGGGAAAGGAGTATGCAAATTGAGGATGATCAGAGGTGCGCTGCTCAAGTAGATAGTTTTCCCTGCGCCATGTCCCAGCGGTGTTCGCCGTGGCCTCCACGACGATCTGTCCAAATCACCTAAGTCAGGAGAAAGCCACGCGAATTATCTGGAAATTTATTGAAATTAATCTTGAGCTTACCTCGCCCTTGTAGCGGTTCGTGCCTCTCTGCGATTCGAAGCGTTTTTCCTGAACCTTCGGATGCTTCAGGACGTGACCATGACTCCGCGAACTGGGGCCATCAAAGCGCATAAAAATATCACTTAATTAAGAGATTTAAATTTAAGTCTAGGGGCTAAAGGATCAGTTATAAATTCTGTTTAATTAGGAATTGCAACTAAACCATTTGTGGCCATCAAAGCTTGAAAGTATCACTAAATTTAGAGATTTAAATTTAAGTTATATGGCTTAGTTATAAAATTTGTCACTACAAAATAGGCAATGTTTCATTATTAAAAGCAAATAAAATTCGTTTTAAATCATTTTATCATTTATATCCACAAAATATGGAAACTATGTGCCTTTTCTGATTATTATATTCAATCAAAGCAATAAGCATTATGTATGCAACCACCACCATTTTGTAAAAATATTTTACGCATTTTTCACCCTTTTTCCGGCAGTAATTTTCCAAGTGAAAACTCGTGAATAAAGTAATTGTGAACTATGATTGCTTATAAACATGAACGAAACCACCACCATTTTCTGCCACTGTTTTCCTGTAGTAAATTCACCCAATTTTCAGCTATATTGGTCAAGTAATGATAAATATGGTAGTAGATGTTAGGCATGAAGTGCATGTGCAATTTTAAATTCACAAACCACCACCATTTTAGCTTTGAATTGCTTTGAACGAGTTAATTATTTTAAATATGAACTGCTTTTGTAGTTTCCGAAAAAAAAACCACCACCATTTTTTGTTACATCAATTAGGGCAATTTTTCACCCATTTTCCTGGCCAATTAACTTACTGAAAGTATTTGGTTTCCTTCGTTTTTGGATCACTTCGACTTCTGGTTTCGGCGACATCCGTATCCTGATCCTTGGCAAACCTCCTGGGTCGCTCCGTTTGGACAGATTGCGATTGCGAAGGTTGTTGATGTTGCTCCTGCAATCTGGCAATCCGCGGTGGTATCACATGCAACACATCACTGGTGAATAGTGCCGGTGGCACATTGTAGAGTTGCTGCTGCTGCTGCTGCTGCTGTTGCAAGTGCTGCTGCTGTTGCAAGTGCTGCTGCTGCAATTGCTGTTGCTCCTCGGCGCGACGTTGAGGTTGCTGCAGGGCAACCCGTTGCATCGGCAGATAGTTCCCCTCATAGCGATACTTGGCCAGTTCGGCATGCGGAGCGATGGTCCTTTGCTGGTACTGCACACTTGACTGCGGATAAAGAGGCGGAAGGGGCGGGGCAGGAGCGGGCAACTGCTGTTGCTGGTAGTCCAAGGGCAGGGCTGGATAGCTGGGGCGGTAGTTGATCAGCTGGAAGTGCGGCGTCTGCTGTTGGTAGTGCAGAGGAGCCGACGGAGGAGCAGCCGGACCATAGCCGCCCACAAAGGGCGTGGCTGCGGAATACTCAAATCTCCGAAGTCGCGGTGAATCGTAGTACAGCTGCCGCGGATGAAAGATCAAGTGGTGGTGCTGCAACATTGCCGGCGATGCGAGCAACAGCAACTGCAGCAACATTTGCATCTTCAGCTGGCTAAGCAGTCCGCATATCTTCCCAATTGTTGGCAGCTCCATCGCGTTGCACTCTCGTCAAATTTGTGGCAGCATTTTGACAACAACATAGCCATTTATACTTTGGACTCTTTTCGGGGCTTGGCCAAGTGTTGTGGCGTGGCTTGGTTAAAAAAAAAAGCCGGAAGTCACTTGCCCAGCAGCAGCAGCAGCCAGCGGTGTGTGAAATCGATCGAAGCTGCCCCGGATTGTGCAATGCTCGAGCGGTCAGGCAGCAGGGCTGGCCTTATATAAGATTAGACAGGGAAAAACAAGAAATAAAATTGGTGGAAATAGGCGAATCTGGGGGCGAGAAGACCTAGAATCGCACTGCTGGCAGCTGCCGGCCTTAGCCCGTCATCAATGTCAAAGCTTGGCTGTTTAGCATATGCAAAGTTTCGGCTATTTCATTGTCAACATCTGTTTTTGGAACTTCCGCTCCCGATGACCGTTAGAACCCGCCATATCCAGTTTTGCTGTGCTCCGATTGGCTGGCCACATATCCTGGCAGCCTGTTGATTCCCTCAAAAGGGGTGGAAAGCCAAAGCCTTGGCTGTGACCTATAGGCCGTGGGCTTTTCAACCCCCTGTCATCGCAGGCCACGACGAAGCAACCCTTAAACCAAAGGCTTCCTCGTCGAGCTGCTTCGGTTAGGCAAATCATTCGACTTCTGAAGTTGAAACCCACAGCACCTCTTAGCATATTCCAGCACCAAACTCCTTGCTCCTCCAAGCGAAAGACATTTGGATATACCAGCGCAACCAGAGAAGAGGTGAGTCTTGATAGCCATAACACATTTATAATATAGATCAATACTTCAACATGCACATGGGTACGGGTACAAACTCCAGATCCACCAAAGTTACTACACGGAGAGCATTATAGATACGGTTATAATACAAAGATTGTGGCCTCCACGAGAGACTGCTGCAACAAGTTTTCAGTGCTTTCGATTCGATTTGGTTTCGTTTTCGGTTTCGGTTCACAACAGAGCTAGAGTTCGAGTTAGAGTTTGCCAACTCCTTTCAGCCTAGTCGGCCATGTTGACATTGTTCATGCGCATCTTGGCAAAGTCCTCGAAAACAATATTGTCATCGTCGTCCTGGTAGTAGCCCTTCACATTGCGGTGCTGCTCGATGGACTTCATCTTCTTCATGGCATTCGAGCGCTTCTTCTCAATAGTTCCTAAGCCACAACCCATTTGGTTAGTCAAAGCATATGATTTGGGAGTATCAAAGACCTACCAGGTGCCGGTTGGAGCAGCTTGAAGGGCACATCCGTCTGCATTTCGCCTCCCAGAGTGCCGCAGTTCAGCTTGATGCGCACCGAGTAGGAGATGACAATACCGCAGGCATCGCCCGTGGACTTGCCCTCCTGCACCATGGTGGATGAGGCCAGGTTGACATCCTCGTCCTTCAGATGGCCATCCAGGGCAATGCCTAAAAGTGCGCTGATGATAAGACTTACTTATAAATCATATAAGATAGAGAACCCACCATGACGATCCTTGTTGTTGGCCGCCAGGGGAATCAGGTAGAAGGTCTTGGTTAGATTGGCGCCCGGGGTGATGGGGCAGCCCTCCTTGGTCTCCAGCTGGGCCACGTGCTTGCTGAACTGGGCATTCACCATGGTGATCTCGGTGTGCTGGACGATGAAGCACTTGATGCTCTTGACCGACTTCTTCGAGTTGTTGGACACCTGAACGGTGGCGGCCGTCTTCTCGCCGTGGTAGTAGATCTCCCGGTCCAGCGTGACCTCCAGACTGATCTTGCCGTTCGAGAAGGTGAATCCCTTGCTGACCAGCGAGCTGGGCAGACGCTGGCCGCGATTGAGGGGAGCGTACTGGAGCTTCTTGATCACCAGGCTGACCATGCTGCGCTTGTGCTGGCGGTCGTCCTCGGAGTCGCCCACGAAGGCCCGGATGGTGTACTCCACGCCCAGCGGCTTGCCGTTGTCGTCGCCCTCCTGCTGCAGCGTTACCGAGCTGGGCGAGTTGGGCGGGAAGTGGAAGGTGAAGGGATGGGCGTTGCAGCCCAGCTTGCGCACCAGCTTCTCCTGCATGGGGGTCATCTCCATGTTCGGATTGGTCATGGGCACGATCTGCTCCCGCGACAGAATCAGCTCCTTGGAGAACTTCACGCCCATCACCTCGTCCTCCTCGCGGCCATAGCGATAGGTGGTGGCCAGTTGGCCGAACACCTTGCGGTTCTTCAGGTAGTCCGGCTCCACCACAATCACCCCGTCCACGGGATCGCAGTAGTCCAGATGGTCGATGAAGTCGCGGCGGCCCAGATAGAAGGTGACCTTGCCGTTGGGCGTGGCCTTCTTAAAGACCTTCACGGAGACAACCATGATGGATTTGCTTCTGTTTCCTGTGTTCTGGTTCCTGATTCCTGATTCCTTGGCTTATAATTCCTGGTTCTTTGCTAATGCAACTGGTGAGTGGGTGCGATGCGCGTTATTGAGTTTTCCGTTCGGCGGAGGAAAATGCGAAACGCAAGTGCCGTGCAACCTGCTTATATACCTTTGCCCTGGCCCTGTCCGTGGGGTTTCATTCTGGCCACTAACTGGATTTGCGCGTTATGCAGTTGCTTGGACATCGCAAGACACAAAACACAAAAAACAAAGAATGAAAACTGCCAGCAGGCTGATTCTAGGGGTTGGTCTAGTTTTCTGCGCAGTTTGCCACTTGCCCGAGCAAATTGGCTAATGTCAAGTATTTCTCCCATTCCGACCCAGTGCGAGGTCGTTTGGCCAACTGTTGAATAATTAGTAGTAGTAGACATGCAGCAGGATTAGCATCTGATTCGTTGTTACCGGGTTGTCATCGGTTGGGAAAGCCTGTTTTCTTAGCCAAGTCCCCAGTGGTCGGCAGCTGAAACCCTACAAGTTTTAATTTTGTTATGGATCAAACGTCGATATATTGATTTGTTTGTGGGCGGCATAGTGGTCGGCAGAATGCAAATTATATTGTTTTGTAACCAATAAGCAAAAGGTCAACATTTTTAGTTACATACGATTTAAGACGTCTTACAAACAAATTCACAAAAGGTCATAAGCTAAATAAATGGGAAGATTTGTAGTTTGTATTATTGCATTCATGGAAACAGCCCTTAAATTTACAAAACTAGCCTCAGTGGTAGGTTTCATATTTCTAAAAATATTTTTCCCAAAAATTTGGGCTTTTCAAGTAAATGCAAATTACAAAAGTTGGGCAATAAAACACCTATTCCTGAAATTTGAGGAAAGTCCATTTACTGCGTGTAAGAACAAAATGAGGTAGCTGTTAAAAGTGTTTAATCTCTAAAAAATATACAACAGAATTTCTATAAGTTTCAGTTTTCTGGATCTTGTCTGCCCCAACAGGCAGTTTGGCTTAAAAATATAGGATTATGACTTTGAAAAAACCTAATAAATTGTTAATCTCTATAAAATTCTGTTTCCTTACAGTTGAGAGTGAAACGCAAAATGCAGACTCAGACACACACCACCACAGACCGACATGGCTATAGCCTGCGCTTTTCGCCTTTCGAGGCTAACTATTTGCTGCTAGCTACAAGGTGAGACCCCCTTAAAAAAACCCACCAATCGACTATAAATTAATCTTATGCCACTTGGTGCAATCCCCAGCCAAATGTACGGTCTCGCTGGAGGTGGTTCCCTCTTCCTGCTCGAACAGAACGCCAACGCAACCGCCTCAGATGGCCAGAGCCTGGGGGAGCTGTGCCGTCTGGAGTGGTCCGACGGCCTGTTCGACGTGGCCTGGTGTCCCTATGCCGCCGACATCGCGGCCACCGCCTCCGGGGACGGGTCGCTCCAGATCTGGTGCGGACTGGACGGCGAGTCGGCGGCCAACCAGCAGACGCCGAAGCAGCCGCTGATCTGTTTGCAGGAGCACAAGAACGAGGTGTACAGCCTGGACTGGGGCGAGAAGTGGAACTACCACACGCTGCTTTCGGCCAGCTGGGACTGCACCCTGAAGTTGTGGGACTGCAACAGACAGAACTCCATCACGACCTTCGTGGGCCACAACGATCTGATCTACGGGGCCAAGTTCTCGCCACTGATCGCGAACCTCTTCGCCAGCGTAAGTACCGATGGGCATTTGAACTTATGGAATTCTCTTGATTTTGCAGGTAAACCCCTGATGAGCATCGAGGCCCATGCCAGCGAGGCCCTCTCCTGCGACTGGTCGCACTTCGACCGCAACGTCCTGGTCACCGGCGGTTCGGATGGCCTGATCCGGGGATGGGATCTGCGCAAGATGCGGACGCACGTCTTCGAGCTCTACTCCGGGGAATTCGCCGTGCGGCGTTTGGCCTGCTCACCGCACTCGGCAGCGGTCTTGGCATCCGCCAACTACGATTTCACCACACGGTAAGTGGGTGTGCTCTATAGGAAAGGAGGAATTTCCATTAATTTAATATGATATTTCCCCAAAAAACTCACATAACGATGATATCCTTCAGAAGGGCTTATGTTTCTGAAAATTTAGGTAGCATTTTGGGATTAAGTATTTCATGAAGTATTTACCGTTTACAACTTTAGAAAGAGAAATTTCAACTTAAAGCAAATCATTTTAGTTAGAGCTGTTTCCAATTTCAAGAACATCAGAAAGAGTTTAAATTTTAGAACGAAAAACTGGGGAACTGCCTATAAACCAGAAAAAGAGATTTTAGATATTTTAATTGAGTTTAAACTCAGTTTCACAATATATTATATCAAAAATGTAAAGATTTAAATTGGAAGGTTTGTAACTTCAGTATTATAAATTTAAATTTCAAACATGGAATAATATAGCAATTTTTTTGATTTTCAGTAACATTGTTTAATATAATAATCTGTGAAGATTTTTAAAGCAGCTGTTAGTATTTATAAAAAGAATATTTTTTTAATTTAAATTCAAAAGTTAATTGATTACTAACAACTTTTCCTCATACCGCTTAATAGGATTTGGAATCTAGAGCGTGGCGAATCCGCCCAAGAGATCAATGCGCAGCACACGGAGTTTGTATGCGGAGTGGACTGGAATCCCCACAGGATCCATCAGCTGGCCGACTGCGGCTGGGATTCGCTGGCCAATGTGTATACCCCTCAGTGCCTGAGTGGCGAAATGGCCGCCTAGGGTATCACTAGGGTATCAACTGGAAACTGGAACTGGTACTCCCTAAATACCGCCAACACATGTGATAAGGCGCTAGTGGCGTCGAAATAGCCAGGCCTACAAACGGTGCACCGCCAACATATATAGCTGAGCTATACCAAATGCCTTTAAGGAACTCTATGGAACTCTATGGAACTCTAAGGACAAGGACCCGATGCCAAGGACTCATCTGCGGCGATGACGTGTAAATAGTTGTGTGATAAACGCTGAACGGGCGAAACTTCAAGCAGGTGCTTCAAATGTCAATAAAAGCTTACATATATTATGCGGATTATACAAATTATACGAATTATGTGGGCTTTGCCTTGGCTCTCTGCTGTTATTATGCCCTTCACAATAAACTTCTTTGCGCCGCTGGCTATAATCTGCACTCGGCCCTTGTCTTAACAAGAATTTAACGGCACTCGGAATTGGTTAGGTGGCAAATGGTCGGCCGATGAGCTCCATTGGGATCCTCTTCCGCCTGACTTCGCTCTGAAACAAACAAACACGCAATAAAGCGCTAATTTGCTGCAACGTTTTATTGCCTGACTGACTGACTGGGCCTGGGTCCCAGTCAAATATCCCTGACATTCCCGGAATTGACACAGCCAACAAGAGATGGCCCCAAGGAGTGCCAGCTATCGCACCTTTTCAACCGACATGGTGTGAAAAGGCAGCAGCCAATCCCCAATCCCCAATCCCAGATCCCGTCATTATCGCAGGCTGAGCTTTAACTGCCACTCGGGGCAAATATTTGCTTTGAAGCCAATTGGCGCTGATTTCTTCTGACAATTGGGGGCAGCTCAAGTGAGGTTGGGGCGATCAACAGCAGCAGCTGCCGACCCGCAATTATCTGTACCTGCTCGCCAGTCAAGTGAGACCAAAATTGATATTAATGCCTTGTTTGTGTTAATAAAACTCGAATTTTTGGGTTTTGTGAAGCTGGGAAGTGCTGATAATATCCTAAGGCGCAGTCAGATCTCTATGGTGAAGATGGCACTTTATTTTATTTTAAATAATTATTTAATGAAGGGTGAGGGCTGATTGTTTTTGAGTGATTCATGTATGATGTATACCAAATTTGTTTTCACTTAAGTGCCAGAAAAAGGTAAGAACTACGTTTTACCTAATTAATCCTAAAACAAAATAAGTAAAAATAAATTCGTATGCCTTTTTGGGGTTTCAGGTTCAACAGGAATTCCGATTATTAAATCTAGCCCTAATGCAAGAAAAACTATAAGTCAACAGCGAAATCTTTGGCGTTTCAGGATTTTTAGAATATCCTTTTTAACAATCTTAACCTTTTTATTTTACAGAATTGTAAAATAGTTAAAAAATTCCTGATGTTTCCTGCGACACCAGTCTCTTGGCGCCACCTGTTGGTTTATACAGTACCAATAAATTTTACATGCATTTTACATTCTGTACGTATTGTTTACTGCTTCGTTGCTATGGGTAAAGCAGTTCAAAGCAGTAGTTGGCGCGTGAATTTAAATTTAAAATATTTTAAGAAAACATAAACAATAAAATTAGTTTGGCGGGAAAATTTAAATAGTAGAGAACAATAAACCTGATTTTACATAAAAGTTTTATATGGTTTTTAGATTGAGAATTTAAAGTTCAACAGATAAAAAAGTCTATATACTTAGCAACAACACGACTTCTTGAGAACATGTTTTTAGAATACGTTTTGAATCCCTACTTTGTGTTCCTCCTCCATCACGAATTTTTCACCGTCATTAAACAGAAATTGGTTTTGGGTGAAGCAAAAATCCTTAAAATTACCCGCAGCAAAAGGCAAACAGTTGGAGCAAACTATAAATTAGTGCCAAACAAAGTTGCAGTTGGCTGCTGGCTGCTGGCGAAAAATTGGACACTTACTGCACAGAGTTGGCTAGACCCACAACCTTGAGTGGCCCCACGGATCTCGTCAGTGTCAAGGCTGCCTGGCAGCTTGTTATAAATAAACAGAAAGAAGAAATATATATCAACACCCAGCACGCGGCTCCCTCGAAACTCGTACCTCCCCGGGAGGTGAATGGGGACTTAGTTTGGGATTTGGTTGGGGATCGGGCTTGGGATGGAGATCGGGGCATCGGGGGATCGGCGTGCCTTATCGTCAGCAGGTTCTGGATCGTGTCTCTACCTGGGACTCTTTACTGCACGCGCCGCTCTTTTCAGTTCAGCAATTTAAATTGCCTCCACGAGCATTTTGATGGCGATCACGCGCCCCCTTTGAAATCTCACTGCCCAATCTGCGCCATAAAGGATCCGCAAACGCAGACGAAGACGCAGACGCAGACGAGGAGTCCGTTCTGTTTCTGGTATCGTATAGTGCCTTGTTTTTACGACTGTCTCTGGTATTAATTTTGTTTTAGCGTTTTGTTCTGCTGCTGCTGCCGCTGCTGCATCCTGGTTCGGTTCGCTTTCGTTCAGCTAACACGTGTAGTTCTGTAGTCTGGACCTCCTTCGGTGCACAGTTGGTGCATCATCACAGAACACACCGCAAACTAGATGCTAACGAAATGGTTTATACTTTTTTTGGAGTTTGAGTGGGCGTAACGCAAGAGGGCAATCTTGATAAGGAGGGCGTTCTTCGTTTGAAAAGACAAAAGAGTGCCGGAAATAATTGTCAGGGGAATGACAATGAACGGCAGGTCCAAAGGCTACCTGTCTTCACGGGGGCTAATGAAGCAGCAATCACAGATCCTGGGCCAGGGCAATTAAAAATTCAAAGAGCCAGAGCGGATGTGGCTACCGTTAGATGGAGTGTGAATTTATTCACCTGGGAATTTATTTTGGAATTTATTCATAAGATCCGGCGGGAACAGGAAACTCTTGACGAGGTGTTGAATGTCTGAGTTGGCAAACGTCGCTGGCCTGAAAATTACCTAAACTGCGCACGCCGTGATCCTCGCTGATCCTTGCTGATCCTCGCTGATTCTGCCTCGCCTTTGTTCTAGCTCGCTTATGACATAACGAGAGCAGCCAGCAGTTTTACGCAAGTCCTGCCAGCGGCGAACGCAATGTTATGCAATACCAGGACAGCAGCGTTGTGGGCCATAAAACCAAGGCTCACAGGACCCTTGAGCCTAGATCTAGATGTCCCATAAATACGGCCACTGAACTACATTCGCTGCCTGGCCGTCGCGACCTGAAAAAATCTGCGCACATTTGTTTATGGCATGTTGTTAAAAAATTCAGGACATCGAGAGCGAATTCGTGGCCTGTTTTTGGGATGGCAATTTACGCAATTCTGGGCAAAAAACAAGGCCAATTGACCCGCTGTTAGTTCTGGGAAATATTTTTGCGTTTTTTCCAGAATTTCCTACGCCCAGATCCTGCAACGGAATTACATCATCGTCGGGCTGCTCTAATTTTTTGTTACAATTGTTTTTTGCATTCGCGTGGCAGGCTCGTTCTTTTCAATATTTTTTTTGTTTGTTTCTTGAGGTTGACCCAGACAAACAAAAATTTGTCCTAGATAAAGAAAAAATTGGCTCAGCCTCAGTCGGCAGCGGTTCGACTGTGCAGACGCGTGGCGGCCAAAAAGGACCCTACAGATTCTGGCTAAATAAATAAAAAATGGTTAATAGCAATTAAACACAGAAACCACTTAATTAAAGATTTTCCTTTATTTACCCATAAATCATATTTTTAAATTCCTGGTAGCGCCAGGAAATTTCTGGAAACTGTTTGGTTATTTACAAAAGCTGATCAACAATTTATTTTCACCAACTAGATGATGATGATGAGTTCTTTTCTAAAAATATTTGATCTAGTGTATTTATGCCCCGTGTTGAGTGATCTTGTTTTCTTCGCCTTTGAATTTTCAATACCGTTTTGTAACCTTCAAATTATATAGAATTTCTTTAGTGCAGCTAATAAATTTAAAGACTAAAAATTGCATTTTATTAGGTATCCATCCCGCAGATTGATTTATTTGCATTGTGTATCGCCATGGAATTGGAATTTTTGGCTGGCATTTAATGGCTGAGGGTGAAGGACGTCTTACGGCGTGCTCCAAACATCAAATACAATGAAATTGGCAAGACGGACAGCTTGGGGAACAAGGTCGTCTCGCAGTTGGCTATAAATAAGATTTTCATTCCGTGCAAAATATTTTGCGTATAAATAATTTGTTGGAAAATAACAGTGGCCGACAATCCGTCCGCGGTTGATCTGTCCGACTGTCTGCTTGTTTTTGAACTCATGACCAAAATACTTCAGCGGCCCGTCTCACGGCTAAAAATAGTGCCGCCTCCCACACAGATCAGTCCCAGATCCCCCGGATTCCGGTCGCAATGATGAAAATTATCGACATCGACTGACGTGCGCCGCGATGACGCGAATTCATCCGCGAAACTGGGACTGGGCTGATTCTAAACAGAGGGCTCCAGTTCCAGGTGATGACGATCGCCAGTTTGGCCAGCAGGGCCAAAAAAAATTGGCGAAAGCCGTATTGAATACGGATCGCAATTACCGGGTCGAGTAATGTGTGTTTGGTGATCTCCGTTATGATGATGATGGAGGTCCAAAGGCGTCAGCATCGGGCCATAAAATGAATTTCCCAGTACGATAACAATTTTAAGATTTAAAACAACATTTTCAGTTAAGCGAATGGGAAATGCTCTAACCGAATATTATGTTATATACTAGATTTGTCTTTTTTAAATTAGTTGAAAACTCTAGGTACTTATAATTTTTTTTTTTTATACTATTTCTATTTATTATTTTTGCCAATTTATTAGAAACTCTTTTAATTTTTAAAAACTCTGTCTAAATACTAAGCCTAACGAACTTTTTTCTACCCTATCTAAGCACTACCCTAACGCAAAACACATTTAAAACAAAAATAAAAAAAAAAAAGTGCAAAAACGCAAAATATTTTTCACGAAAAACAAATTCCTTTGCAGCACGTCAATGACGTCAATGCGAGACGGGCCTGTCAGAAAAATATAACGAACGCAAACGGATCACGACCAGAAGCGGATTCCGGGGAAAAGTTTTCCCCCAAAACAACAAAAAAAAAAAGGAGATGAGGGGCGGATCGCGTCTGTTAAATCCAGACGTGGGCGTGCAAATCGGAGGAGGAGCTGCCGCCTATATGCTACATGCTGTTTTTGCGGCCAAATCGACTTTTGCCTGGCGATGACGCGTGAACTTGCCTTTGATTTGTGCGTTCTCTCTCGATTTGGATCTCGAGGTGGACTGGCCAAAAATAACAAGGTGGGTGCTGCTGGGGCATTTGCATTTTGTTATTTTCTCGTTTAGTTATTTTGATATTCGGTTATTGCTGGTCAGGCGGCTCGCACACGCGCCTCAGTGGGTGGCTGGCTGGCTGAGATCT